GGAGCATTCCACTGATGGCCACAAAAGGCATTTCCACATTGGTGAAGGATGGGGTCCTGCTGGAAGAGTGGGTGGAGCCTCAGCCATGAGCAGCCAGCACCCCAGCTATGATTTACCTCAGTATGGTGTGGTCCCAGAGACGCAGAACGTCACCCCCAGATGTGCAGGGGAGAAGGGAAGGTGGAGGAGAAACAGAGACAGAAACAGAGAGATATGGAAGGTCCTACGGCGGGTCTGTCACTGTCCCCACCCCCCTCCCCTGTCACCCAACATGACACAGAGATCCCAGCTCCAGCAGCCTTCATCCGCCTAGTGGCTCAGTTTCCCTAGTGGCAGAAGGAGGTCATACTAGGTGCCTCCTTCAGCTTTCTGTCACCCAGACCCTGAGCTGCCCACAGGGTCCCAGTCAAATGATAAGTAGCTCAGGCAGGTGAGGCTTTGCAGGAAAGCACATGCCATGTAAGCCTGAGGACCCAAGTTTGAATCCTTCACACTCACATAAAAACCCAGGCATGGGAGGCTGGAGAGATGGCTTGGTGGTTAAAAGCACTGGCTGTTCTTGCAGAGGACCCAGATTTGGCTCCCAGCACCCACATGGTGGCTAACAACCATTCACAACTCCAGTTCCAGGGGATCTGACGCCCTCTTCTGACTCCACAGGCATTGTACAACATGGGTGCACTAACACACATGGAGGCAAAACACATACAGAAAATAAAAATAAAAGGAATATTAGTCGGGCATGGTGGTGCATGCCTTTGATCCAGCACTTGGGAAGCAGAGGCAGGCAGATCTCTATGAGTTCAAGGCCAGCCTGGTCTACATAGTGAGTTCCAGGACAGCTGGAGCTACAGGGAGACCCTGTCTCAAAAAGACCAAAAAATAAATAAGTAAAAGCAATACAAAAAATTAAATCCAGACATGGTGGTGCACGCTTGTAACCACAAGCAGGGAGCAACTGAGGAGGACCCGGATGCTGCCTCTGACCCCCACAGGCACAAAATGTGAGAAATTTAAAAATTATCAGTTTTCATACTTGGCTGTGGAAGGCCCAATTCTCAGGTGGTGCGATGTCCACAGATGGGGACTGTGGAATCCAAAGTAAACCTTTTTTTTCTTCATAAGTTGAGCCCTTTAGGTGTTTTCTCACAGTAACAGAAGGTTGGAAAACGGATTAAAATAATTGTATTGTTAATTGATCCACACCCTCCAAACTGGCTTATGAACTCAATATCCTTCGAATCAAACCTAGTAACTGGGGCATGGCTCTGTGGTTAATATTTGCCTGGTATGCAGGAGACCCAGGGTTCCATCTCCAGCACCAAACAAAAATCCCCAAACCCCAAAGTCGCAGCAGGATTAGGTTAAGAGTACGCAGCCCAGTCTAGCCTCCAACTCCTAGGCTGGAACAGTCCTCCTGCTTCGTCAGTGCTGGAATTGCAGGTATGGACCACGCCTGGCTCAGGATCATTTCCTGTGTTTGTTAAGCATTTTTATTACATTTATGGTGTGTGTGTGTGTGTGTGTGTGTGTGTGTGTGTGTGTGTGTGTACGCACTCTTTGCACATGCCACTGAGCACCTCTGAAGGCCAGAGGACGCCTATCCAGACTTAGTTCTCTCCTTCCGCCGTGCGGGTCCAGGGACTGAGCTCGGGTTATCAGGCAGCATCTTCACATGTTGAACCACCTCGCTAGCCCGTTATCTTAATTTTATTTGAAATGTAATTCATTCTGTCTTAAAGTTTAACAATCCCCTTCATTCAATCTTACCTGTTTGACTTTATTGTTTTGAGACATGGTTTCACTATGCAGCCAGTGTTAGTTTTTCAATTTGCCATCCTCCTGCCTCAGTGTCTCCAGATGCGGTATCTTTGCCTGATCATCACTCCATACTCCATTGACAAAGGCTGGGATGGGCTCACGCATACATCACAGCTCTAGGTGGTGTAATTCCTTCACCTCTGCCCAAGCCCATGTCTCTACACAGAAGTCTACGACGGTCTCCATGACCACTCAGGGTGGAAAGAGGACGTTCCTGGTAGACGGGGAGAAAAGAGTGCAGAGAAACCTGGAGAAGGCAGAGAAGTAGGCGCCAATTTTGCAGAATTTAGGGAACCGGCTTAAAACCTTGCACAAGATTGACTTTTGCAACCTACAAATGCACCTGGGGTCTCCTCTCGACCTCCTCAAACCTCCCCAGAGCAGCCCACAGCGCGCTGCATATAGTAAGCACTTAATAAATGCTCATTCCTGAGCCGCCAATCATAAACGCAGACGTGGGTCTCTGCTGCCGCCTGCTGGTGGCTTTAGTAGTAGCATGTTCACTGTTCAACGTGAATTTTGCAAGATGGAAAAATTTTGGAAGGACTTGATGAATTCTTACGGGTTTATTGAGCCACAAGTGTGTGTCCTTGAAGCACCCGCTTTTCAGAGGTGGAAACTGAGTCTCGTAAGATTCAGCAGCAATTCTAAACTTCCACACCTGGTCAGTGATATTACCTGGATTTGAACTCAGGGCACCTGGGTGTGGCAGAGGGAGCTGGGGCCTGTTCACAGATTAGGAAGAAGACAGACAGGAGACAAGAGCAGATATCACCTGGGAAGTCCCGCCCTCTGGGACAGACTCTGGGCGCCAGGCCCCGCCCACTACCAGGCCCCGCCCTGCCAGGCCCCGCCCCCTAAAGGCTAAGCTGTTAAAATATTGCCACTGGGGTATTCTAGGCTGTCACTCTACCCTGAGCCACGCCCCCATCTTTTTTTTTGGTCTTTTTGAGACAGGGTCTCCCTGTAGCCCCAGCTGTCCTGGAACTCGCTATGTAGACCAGGATGGCCTTGAACTCACAGAGATAGGTCTGCCTCCTGAGTGGACACCCGGCTTTTTTTTTTTTTTTGGTCGCCCCCAGCCCCCTTTTAATTCTTTGAGAAATTCTCTGAGCTGTGCCTCATCTTCCAGGATGACCCCGAGACTGGTCGTCACAGCCCCACCCCTCGTGCCCCCTTGGTCTTTGTGTGGTGCTGGCTGCCTCCTCTGTCTTCATGAATCACATCCTCTTTGTGGATCCAGCTCCTCCTTGCTGCCACAGTGCTGAGATTACAGACATGCGTCACCATGGCTGAGAAAAAGTTTCACACTCGCACTGGAATAGTGCTCAGCCATGGACACAGAGGGAGGCTCTGACACAATCCAGTGTGGAAGGAAAATAAGGCAAGAGTTGCTCTTTTAGCAAGTAAACTTTTATTAAATAAATTTTTCTTTTCTTTTCCAGACCAAAGAGAAGCGATTTGACGTGAAGATACTTGCTCCCCCCCACCCAAACAGTGGGACAGTGAGGGTGCCCGTCCAGGAGGGCACAGCTTTGACAGGAAAGTGAAGCCAAGTCAAACCCCCAAATTCCATCTGTTCTTTTTTCTCTTGACCCCCCCGCCCGCCGTGTCTCCAAAATTCAGTTTGCAAGTTGAAATTTCACGAAATTACTTGTAGCAGAAATAAAATCAGTTATACAAATCATGTAGGATCTTCAGGGTGGAGTATAAAAAATGGTATTTACAGCTCGTAAACATGAACTAGACGGGTCCACGGGACAGCGCACGCCAGCACGCACTTAGTAGGTGCCCCACGGGGGACACGTGACACGTGGGGGGGGCTTCTACACACGCTTTCCGCAAACGTAGACAACACAGTCACGCGGCAGGAGTGTACCAGAGCAAGGTTTTTTATCAAATAGGAGTATCGAAACAGGTCATCCAGAAGATTTTTTTTTTTTTTTAAACCTTTTAAACATAGTCATGTCCTTTGCATTAATAATTCCCCTTTTCTTTTTTTTTTTTTTTTTTTTTTTTTTTTTTTTTTTTTTTTTTTGCTTTTGAATGCAGGAAGGGCTCCAGACCCCCTCCCTGTTGATAGAACGGTCCAAACGGACTTGAATCTGTGCTTTCTGGTGGGTGTTGTGGACGGGTCGGGCAACTGTACAGGGGTGTCTCCCCCCAAAAGTCTCCTTCCACCCGAACCCCCAGCTAGGAAACAGAAATTGATTATCAGTTGATCCCCTCACTTTTTCCCTTTTTGAGGGGAAGTCTTCTCTATATGTTCAGAAAGACCAAAACCCTCCAAAATGAAAAAAATTAAACCAGAGATATAAAAGTCAAGGTTGTAGTGTTCAATAAAGGGATACTTGGCTGGTCCACTGTGGTCACATCTGACACCCTTGGTGATCTTGGGTACAAGACTTTAAATTCAAGGCTGGTGATTGGAGGACAGGAACTGTGGTGGCCTGTCCTTGGGAGGGGACAGATGGGGACATGAGGTGCCCCCACACCTTCTCTGCCCCCGATAGAAAGCTAAGGACAATTGGTCACCCAAATAAGGCTATGACTGAGGGACCGGGGACAGAGGCAGGCTGGGGGGCCAGCACCCCAAAAGGCGGGACCCTGGTATGAGGGGCAGTGGGGCTGGCTGGGTGTCATCCTTGGTGGGGTGGCCGGGGGACCCCAAGTTCTGGAGGCAGATGGTGAGTTCCTGGTTTGACATCCAGCTGGCCTCAGTCTGTCCTTGGCCCCCGCTGAAGTGGCCAGTTCAAAGCCACTCTTTCACGGGTATTAAGAACTCAAAAAAGTTTGGCCCCGTGGTTAACACTCCAAAAATATATATATAATGTCTATAATTCTCTATATATCCATGTATAGATGCATTCAGTCAGGGAAGGTTCTGGTTTTGTGCTGGGAAGTCTCTGAGTAGGGGTAGGGAACAGGGTCACATCCCCCCCAGTCAAGGGACCGACCAGTGGTGGTTTGGCAGTGTGCAGACCCTACATTCCCACCCCACGTGGTTCTCGGTGGCTTCGCAGTTTTTTGGGGGAGGGGGGACAGGCAGGGGAGGAGGGGGTAACAGAGAGGGCTGGTGTCCAAACGCGGCTGTAATTTACAGAAAAGTCCTGGGTTGGAGAGGCATCAGAGAAAGGTGGGGAATGGCACAGAGGACACTGTCCCATCTCACTTCTGTCTTGCCTGGGAATCCTTTTTTTTTTTTTTCAAAATAACGGCGCCTTGGAGGTCAACGAACTCCATTTAGAAAACAGTTACCATCCAGGTGGCTCCATCTGGTGACTGGGGACATATTCCTGCCAAACCCCCAGGAAGGGTTCCCTCCTTCCCAGGCGCATTCCAAAAGTGCGCTGGACTGAACCCAGTACCCAGCAGATAATCTGCCAAAAATCTGAGTAGCTGAGTTAAGTAAAGGGGAAGTTGAGGTCTGTTTTTATTGTTCCTGAATGACGCTTTTCCTAATAATAATAACAAAAAAACACAACCAGGCAAAAGACCACCTACATCCCCAAAGACCCCAGGCGAGGCCTCTTGGCAGCTGTGTTTAAAAAAGAATCAAAACTGTGATTAAAAAAGAATCAAAACAAATTCATCCAAGCTCTGCGGGTGCGGCTTGTGCTGTATGGGCGTCACCTCCTCGTGGGACTATTGTGCAGTTAACACCACAGTTTAAAATCAGCTGTGAGGGTTCAGTCCCTAAGGAAACTGCTGATAAAGTCCCCCCCACAATGGGGAAATTTGACTTTTGGGTGTTTTTCTTCTTGAGTATTTGTTTTTGTTGGTGTTTGTTTTTGTGACTGTGAGTGGCAATTCATTCCTTGTTGTTTTTTTTTAACACATTGGGGATGAGGTCAGAAGAGAGGAAGCCAGGGTTCACTGCAGCCAGTAGGGATGGAAGTGGGGAACTGGAAGGCTGTCAAGATGAACCCACCTTCCTGTGCTTCACCCTGTTTCAAGCTGAACTGGACACTAGGGACCCAAAGTGGGCTGTGCGGAACATATTTCCTCTGGTTTCTCAGCTGGGAGAACATCCTCACAGGATAGAAGCTCCCCATCACACCCCACACCCCAGTGACACCCCTCCAAAACCCTATTGCAGAGCCCCCCTTGATGGGAGACACTGGCATCTCCCCACTTCCCACCCAATCCCACCCTCTGCACCACCCCAGCCACAAGGTTATGGGGAGGCCTGTGTCTGTCCCCACCAGCCTCTTGGGGTGTCACTTCCACCCCCCTCCCCAGGATTCAGAGAGTGAGCTCAGAGTGAGAGGAGTTAGAGGAGACCCGGGCTGGGGCAGGGCATCACCTGGAGCCACACCCACGGCTCGGGGCGGCTATGGGCACAGTCAGTACGGGTGTCCCGGGTCTTTGGGTCTCTTCAGCTGGACTTTGAGCCTCTTCATCCCAATCTGAAAGCCGTTCATGGCCTGGATGGCCGACTGTGCGCTGGCTGGGTTGTCAAAGCTCACGAATCCTGTAGGATCAAGAGCGGACTGGTGGTGGGTGCCGGTCCCCTCAGGCCAGACTGAACAGCAGTGTTCTCGCTTTCTGTAAGTCACTCTACCCTGAGCCACGCCCCCAGCCCCTCACAGGGGATTCCGGGCGGTCACTCTACCCTGAGCCACGCCCCCAGCCCCTCACTGGGGATTCTAGGCTGTCACTCTACCCTGAGCCACGCCCCCACCCCCTCACAGGGGATTCCGGGCGGTCACTCTACCCTGAGCCACGCCCCCATCCCCTCATTGGGGATTCTAGGCTGTCACTCTACCCTGGGCCACACCCCGACCCCTCACTGGGGATTCTGGGCTGTCACTCTACCCTGAGCCACGCCCCCAGCCCCTCACTGGGGGATTCTAGGCATGGCCACTCACCGAAACACTTGCTCTGGTTGGTAGCCCGATCCATAAACACCTTGGAGGAGATGATATTGCCGAAGGGCAGGAACATCTGCGTCAGCTCCGTGTCTCCAAACTCCTGGGGGAGGTGGTAGATAAACAGGTTACAGCCTTCGGGACCTGTAGTGAGGGAGAGAAAGACATAATGCCGGCAAGGAGAGGAGGCGGACCCCCCGGGGCGGGGTGTGGTCCTGGTCTCTGATTGTGGATGGAGAGGGGGAATCCCCATGACTCCCCAAAAGGAAGAGGGGGAAACAGAGGAGGGGTCTGAGGTCCTGGATCCCCCATTTCCCACCCTGCACTCGGACCCACCCTCCTAGGGCTCATCCCAGACTAAACCCTGGTTTATTCCTCCCCACCCTGTACCCCAGAACCCAACTATGCCCTCCTCCCAGATAATCCAAACCCCTGAAGTGACACGAAATCCCTGTCACCCATTTGCCAGCCCCCACCTCCAAGCCATTTATTGAAGTCAGATGAAGAGGACCTGGGATCAATAAAGACTGTCATCCCAGCATGGGAACCTGAGGTAGAGGGACTGCTGTGAGTTTGATGCCAGCCTGGGCTACAGAGTAGACCCTGACTCAAAAAGGCTAAGGCAGGGGGCTAGAGAGATGGCTCATCCATCAAGAGCACTGGTTGCTCTTGCAGAGAACCTGATTTCAATTCCCAGTACCCCCATATGGTGGCTAACCACTATTGATAACTCCAGTTCCAGGTGATCAGAGCCCTCTTCTGGCCTCCACCAGCATTGCATGCATGTGGTGTACTTACATACATACATATAAAAAAATAAATCAAAAACTTTTTATAAAATAGGCTGAGGCAGGAAGATCATGAGATCCAGTCCAGCCTGGGCTACAAAATCCCTGTCCCCCCAAAAGAAACTTCATGTGTCCCATAGTCACCCCCTCTATCTGTGGGGGATGGGTCTCTGGTACCCCTGGGATGCTAAGCTCCACCAGTGCTCGGGTTACTTCTAATGCGGGCTTGGTGTCCTGCAAAAGGCATAAACATGTCCTTTCCTAGACTTGAATCCATCCAGAAATGGTTTAGAACTCCTGATACCCCTCAAAGTCTGTGTATAGAGTTGTTTGTTACACTGTATTGTCTGGAGAACAATGAGAAAAATAGATACATGTTTCCTATAGGCTGGATTATTTCTTGCCTGAATAATCTTCTTTACACAATGGTTGAAACAATTATTTGAAACTCAGCCCGTGGAGGGTTAAGGAGAAGTGAAGGGGGTTAACTGCTTTTAAATTACATTTTATTTATTTATTTGGGAGGGAGCACATGCTATAGTGTGTGTGGAGGTCAGAGGACAACTTGTAGGAGTCGGTTGTCTCTTCCACCATGTGGGTACTGGGGATCAAACTCAGGTTGCCAGACTTGGATGCAAGTGTCTTTACCTGATAAGCCCTCTCTCCCACCCCTGGGTGAATTTTTAAAACCTACTTTCATTCACTTGGCCCAGGAAAGCTGGAGTTGGGGCTGGGCGAGGCCTTGCATAATTGAGCCTTCTTTAAGTATCACTGATGTCACACTGTGGTTAGGGGTTCAAGACTCTGGAGATCCTGAGAAATGTCTGGAACTTGTGGCTATCAATGGTAGGCAAGCACACCACCCGTTGCTGACTGTGGCTCTAGGTGCACAGCACCCAAGGGACACACCGCGTGGCCCTAAGTAGCACAGCCCAGGGACATGGTGGCCTCTCAAAGCCTGGTGCTCCAGCTGGATGCGTGAGTCATGACCACAGGATGGGGTAGGGATGGAGCAGAAAGCAGGCTCAGGCTGGAGAGCAGTCGGCGTCCAGGGCTCACCCTCAGCCATACTGGGGTCACCTCTCCCCAGTCCCCTCCCTTTCCGCAGGAAAAGGATTAAGGCGAGGATGTGACTCCTGGGGTGACGGCACCCGCAAGGCCGGTGTGGCAGACGGGGAAACAGTGGCACCGGCTGGGAGCTGCCTTCGGACTGCGTTTCCAGGTGAGAAGTGGGCGGGGAGTCAGACGCCCCGGCTCGCCCCTCTCACCTTCCACGGCCTGGGCTCCCCGGGGCAGCCTCAGTTTACCCAAGGCACCTCCTGGTGCCAAAGTGCCCAGAAAAGAGGGTTTCCGCTCTCTCTGCATGGGCAGAGGGGAAACTGAGGCCGGGCCGCCGGGTCGGCAGGTGTAGGTGGGGGCGGGGCCCGCGGTGTCAGCGCCTCACCTTCCCGCTGCTGCTGCAGGACGTGTGCAGGCTGCGGGACGCCGTGCGCCACCGGCGTGAGGGCCGCCGTGGGGTACATGGCTGCGGAGAAGGCAGAGGGAGGGGCGTGAGCGGAGGGGGCGGGACCCGGGGAGAGGCGGGGCTAACGGGGAGGAGCCAAAACCCCGGCAGAAAGGAGCGGAGCTCTGAGCTGAGCCTCCTTGGGGAGGTAGATGCCACCAGGAAGATGGGGAATGGGACCTCAGAGAAGGGGGAGTTGAAAGCAGCATAAGAGCCTGGGGCCTCTGTGTGTGCAACTGGGTGGGTGTCGCCACACGTAGGGGCGTGGCTAAGCAGGATCAATTGATGGGGGCAGGGCCAGGCTTCCCCTTACCTGTGAAGTGCTGGACTCCAGAGAAGGCCGGATGGAGGGTCTCTGCCACGGTGGGGCTCTGGGCTGCAGGACAGAGGAAGAACTGAGCGGGGCCTGGTGGCGGAATCTTCCACCCATCCTGGAGCTGGAGGGCCCTGAAGCTACCAAGCACCGTGGCTCCCCTATGTTAAACACTTAATGGACATAATGCCCACTGGCTAGGCAGGGAAACTGAGGCTCAGAGGTCCTTAGTATTCACGGATGGACTCACAACTTACAGAGCCACAGGTAACTCTAGAGCAAATGTAGTTGGGTGCAGTGGCATACACCTGTCATCTCAGCATTTGGGAGGCTGAGGCAGGAGGATCATCATGAGTTGAAGGCCAGCCTGGGCTACAAAGCAAATTTGTGGACAACCTGGGCCACAGGATTAGTCAGATTCCAGCCTGAGCTACATAGTGAGACTGTCTCAAACAACAGACAGACAAGACTGTTTTTTGTCCCGGGTGATACATGTGCCTAAAACAGGCCTTTGATGTTGATGGGCCCCATTTTCCAGATCAACAAAACAGGGTTCAGAGCCTGCCAGGAACCTACCAGGGTCCCAGAGCTGGAATTTGAACCCAGAACCAGCTGGATGCATGGTTCCCATGCAGTACCCTTCCCTCTGTCCCTCTGCCCACATCAGCCAGGATGTCGTTCCCAGGGTATCACATGTGGGAACCTAGTCATGCTCAGCAAGCACATGGACACCCCAGACACCATCCTAGGCTCCAGGGAACCCCCCAGCTACCTGGGTAGGGCACAAGGCCATTGGCATACACGGTCTCCAGGGCAGGGTGGCCACCAGCAAAGGGCACGACTCCAGCAAAGCCACTGGGAATGGGTGCCACAAGGCCAGGAACAGCAGTGGTGCCCAGCAGTGGGGGCGAGTGTAGCCCTGAGGGGGAAAAGAGGGTAGAGGGGGCTGCAGAAAGTGGGGGACCCTACCCAACCACCTTGAGTCCCCCCGAAGCTGCTCACCAGAGGCAGGGGTGATGGGTGTGGTGGGCAGACCGTTAAGGCTGACGGTGCCGACCTGCTGGATGTGACAGGGGGAGAAGGCCACGCCAGGGCTCAGGTAGCTGCCGGAGGCGGACAGGACGGTGGTCTGTTGCTGCATGAGCTGGGGGCAGAGAGGGTATAAACTGGTCCTGTCCAACCCAACCACAGCTCAGGAAATGGGGTGAGAGAGGAGCATGGGACATTGTAGCTAAAGTTGGGATTGGGACTCAGTCAAGAACTGAGGTTCAGCTTGAGATCAGGGCTCAGTCTAGGTTCAGGGCTCAGTCAGAAAATGAGGCTCAGACTTGGATCAGGGCTCGTTCTTAGATTAGGGCTGAGTAAGCATTAGGGTTCAGATTGGGACCAAGGCTCAGTCTAGAGTCAGGGCTCAGTTAGAAATTGAGGTTCAGCTGTGAATCAGAATTCAGCATGAGATAAGAGACCAGTAAGGCAGTAAGGGCTCAGCTGCAGATCTACACAACTCAGGATCAAGGTTCAGTCTGGATTTAGGGCTCAGTTAGAATTTGAGGCTCAGTGGCTCAGCCTGGGATAAGGGCTCAGTCAAGAATTAATGCTCAGTCTGGGATCAGGGATCAGTCAGGCATTAGGGGCTTTGCTTGGCATCAAGACTCAGCTTGAGATCAGGGCTCAGTCAGAAATTGAGATTCATCCTGGGATCAGGGTTCAGGATTGGAACACAGTTTAGTCAGGAATTTAGCTCAGTTTAGGATTGGATCTTGGGTTAGGATCCAGAATTAGTCAGAAATTGAGGCTCAGCATAGGATCAAAGCTCCGTCTGGACTCATAACTAGGTTTAGGACCAAGAATCAGAAATTTAGATTCAGTTTGGGATCAGGGCTCAGTGTAGCAACAAGGCACAGTCAGGAATTGGGTCTTGATCTGGGATCAGGGATCAGTCAATGATTAAGGCAGAGTCAGAAGTTGGGGCTCAGTCAGGTCAGATCTCAGCTTGAGGCCAGCCTGGGTTTAGGGTTTAGTCAGAATTAGATTGAATGCAGATTTAGGGACAGCATGATCTTGGCTCAGTCCACTTGGGTCTGAAAAGGTTAGAGTTCTATCCAAGGTCAAGGTGCAACTTGGACTGGGGGAGGCTGAGCCGGATCCCCAGCGTGGTCTTGGGAGTGCTCCAGTGTACATCGTGGGGTCACTCACAGCCTGGGCGTAGGCACTGTAGGGGCTGAAGGGCAGGGTGAGGGATGGCGTCAGAATGCCCAGCTGGCCCACCATCTGCTGCATCCGCCGCAGTGTCCGCTCCTTGTCCGTGTCTGCAAACTTGACCACCAGGCTGGATGAGGCTCCCTGTATCGGGGACAGTGTGTGGGGGTGGGGGGAGCACAGGAGGTAGCCAGAACTCTGGGGTCCCCAGAACCCTGCCAGCTCAGGACCCTTGGATGAGGAGCGGAGATGCCACCAGACACAAGAGCTGGGGCCATGGGACCAGGAAACCACAGGAGCTGGGGCCACGGGAGTTGGGGCCATGGGACAACAGTGTGGTGAGGGCCACAGTCTCTGCCAGGCAGCCACTGTCTATAAGGTGGGGCACACAGGTCCTGAGGGTCCTGGCTGTCGCCATATGCTCAATAGCAGGTGGAGAATCAAGTGGGTGGAGAGAGATGGTTAAGAGAGTTCAATCTGGAATTGGGACTCAGTCTATAATTAGATCTCAGTCAGGAACTGGGACTTAGTATGGGATCATGGCTTAGTTCACAATTAGAACTGAGTGAAGAACTGGGGCTTGGCCTGGAATCAGGGATCAGTATATGACTAGGGCTCATCAGAAACTGAACCTATAGATCAAAGTTCAGTCTGGGATTAGGGACTAGGTAGTATTTGGAGCTCTGCCTGGGATCAGGGCTAAGTGCATAATTAGGGTTCAGTGAGGAATTGGAACTGTCTGGGGACAGGACTCTATGATTAGGGCTCAGGCTGAAATTGGGACTTATTTTGGAGATTAGGGCAGAGTCTAAGATCAGGTCTCTGTCAGGAATGTGGGCTCTGTCTAGGACCAGGGCTCAGTCTACAATGAAAATTCAGTCAGAAACGGAGGTTCAGTCTAGAGAATCAGGGTTCAGTCAGGAAATGGGGTTCTATCTGGGATCAGGGCTCAGTCAGGAATTGAGGCTCTGTCTGGGATCAGGGCTCAGTCTACATTAGAATTCAGTCAGGAATTGGAATTCTGTCTGGGATCGGGGTTAGTCTACAATGTAGGGCTCAGTCATGAAGTAGGGCTCATTCTGAGCTCATCAAGTTCCTTCCTGGTGATCTGGCCCTAAACACACTCCAGGCTGGCTTGCTGACATGGCCCCCTTGATGGAGAATTTACTCCCCATTTTCTGGGGATACCTCTGAACATGAGGAAGCTGGCCTTGGAGATTACTGTCCCTGCACCTGCTGGTCCTGCCTCTCGGCCTTTGCTCCTTCCAGACCCATAGAGCTCCTGGGACAATGTCTTGCACAACACACACACACACACAGCTACAGGCATACACACACACACACACACACACACACACCTCCATTGCAGCCTTACCCACACTCCCTCTTTCCTCTCTGAAGCAGTCTTCAAGGAATGCCAAAGATGGGGCCCATTTTCTCCTGACTTCCCTCACCCCATACCCACCACCATGGCCAAGGGCGACTCTCACTCACTGGCATGGTCTGGCTGCCATGCAGGGCATGGATGGCTGCCTGGGCCTCTGTGTGGGAGGAGAACTTCACAAAGGCACAGCCTGGGGGGGCGGAGATGTGAGAGAAGAGAGAGAGAGATTAGTTTGGAACAGGAAGAGAAGCCCTTGGTAGCCAGTCATAGACAGCCAGACATGAGCTCAGACAGACATGACGAACTGAGCAGGACAGACAGGAAGGCCACCATCACACGACCATCCACCAGAGGCAGGGAGTCAGACATCAGCCATCCACCCCCATCTATCCACCCACCCACCCACCTTTCCATCCACCCATCTCTCCCTCCCTCCCTCCATCCCTTCCTCCCTCTTTATCTTTTTTCATCCATCCACCATCCAGCTACCCATCTGCTCAGCCAATCAGGAGTTCAGCCCAACAGTCAGGGAAGTGTTTGAAGGAGTCTTTGTCGATCTCTGTCCCTGTCTGTCTCTCTGTCTGTCTCTGTCTCTCTGTCTCTCTGTCTCTGTCTCTGTCTCTCTCTCTCTCTCTCTCTCTCTCTCTCTCAGAGTCAGAGGGCTAAGGGGGGGGGGCGGGGGGGGTGGGGGGAACACTCTTCACAATAAGATCTGTCTCTCTGTCTCTGTCTCTGTCTCTCTCTCTCTCTCTCTCTCTCTCTCTCAGAGTCAGAGGGCTAAGGGGGGGGGGCAGAGTGTGTTGGGAGAACACTCCTGACCATTAGAAGAAGCAAGGAGCAGCTTTGTGCCCACCATCTCCGGCCCCTCACAGTCCATAGTTCACAATGAGATCTGTGGACTCACCTTGTCAGACAAGACACAGGCAGTCCTGTGGGTGTCCACCCACCCAGGCAGACACACCCCACAGCCAGGGTCGTAAACCAGGGTTCAGGGAGGAACCATCCCACCAACCACACAGATGGACAGATACAGGAAGACATAAACGGAGAGAGTTCATTGGGACAGAGGAAGAGAGGTTGGGAGTCCCAGGATGGAAATGGCCGCATCCTGCCAGATCCGGTGTTCCCAGAGGATACAGTAGTCAGGATTGCATTAACAGTGGCCAAGGCTGGCCCCGCCCCATCGGGAACGCCCCTTCCATAGGCCTGGCGCCGACTCCACATTAGCCCTGCCCCTAGCCCCACTCACAGCCAGCCCCACCCTAGCCACACCCACAGTATGTCTCAGTCCCTAACTGCACCCACAGCATTCCGGCCCTAGAATGTCCCACACCTACCCACACCCACAGCCAGCTGGACCACCCTAGCCACGCCCACAGTGTGTCCCACCCCATAACCACACCCACAGCCAGCCCTGGGATGCCCCGCCCCAGCCACACCCACATCTCGCCCTGCCCTCTGGCCACGCCCATCCAGAAGTTCCCTTTCAGTAGGCAATGTCCATCTTCCAGTTCCATCCCTCCCCACAGACCCAGCCATCTCCCCGCCAAGCCCCAAGAACCCGCCAACCACTAGCTCTGCCCTCCCACACGCCCCTCCCCGTCCCGCAGGCCACACCCCTGCCAGGCCCTCTCTTTTCTAAGCTCCTCCCCTCCTGCAGGTTCTCTGCAGCCAGGCTCCTGCCTGAAATGCCTCCTGCTTCCTGGAGTCCCCACCCATCCTTGGCCCCTCCCCTCCCATGCCCCGCCCCTTCAGGATCTCACCCTTCCCTGGCTCCTCTTCCCATACCCCTCTCCCAAGCAGGACCATTCCACTCCCGGGCTCCACCCTCACGCCACGCCCCCTTCCTGCAGGCCCGCCCACTCCCGGACGCACCGTCCTGGCCCCGCCCACCCCTGGGCCCTCCCCGCAGCCTGCCACTTACCTTTGCTGCTGCCATCGGGCCCTCTCAGCACAGTGCATTCATCGATGACACCGAAGGGCTGGAAGAGCCTGAGCACGTCCTCCTCCGACTGCTGCTTGTTGAGCATGCCAACGAACAACTTCCGGTCCCCTGTGGGCGGAGCCCCGGCCCACGGCCCCGCTGAGCTCCTTGCCTGGCCCTAGGGGACCCTCCGCCCTGTCCCCCGCTGCCCCAGGACCTTTGCTCATGCTGCCCACCGCTCCATCTCCCAGGAATGGACAGCCTGGTTGCTATGGAAACCATACTCCCGCAGCTGTCACTCATGGGGGTTAGAGGGACAAAGAACTTTAAGGAGAGAGACTGATGGGGAGGAAGTGACAGAGAAGGATAAGAATTAGAAAACGAGAACGAGAGAGAAAGAGAGACAGAGACACAGAGAGAGAGAGAGCCATCTTTTTACTTCCTGTCCTGTACCGACAGCCTCTTGGACAATGACTGGGACTGGGGACCCAGGTGGCCTTTACCGAACTCCTGCACATAAGTCGGGGTCCTAATAGACGTGCCCCTACCCCCACCCCACCCCATTACAGGGTCTGAAAAGATCTCCCAAGACAGGCGAAGTCCTGCCACGGCCGGTCTGCAGGCCATGGAAAGGTAACTACTACCTCCGCGACTCTCGCTGTCCGCTGGCTTCACCTGGATAGGCCGCGCCATCTGGGGAGAGAGGGGGGCAGAGTCAAGGAAGGGAGTGGCTAGTGGGGGTACAGGGAACCCTCATCTGAGGTCTGCTCAGTCTTCCGTGTCTTAGCACCAGATGCAGGTGAGACCTGGGAAAACTCTTAGCTATCCTTCAAAACGCAATTTTCTCTCAATGGGGGCCAATCCCCAGGCCCCTGTATGCAAATGTGGTACTGGGGTTTCTACCTTCTAGAACCCAAGTCCATTTCTTCATTCGGTGGAGCCTGAATGCCAGTTAGCCCAGAGAATCACAAACAAAATGATGGGGACTGTTTATTACCAGGCAGTAGCTTACTGATACTCCCTAGGTAGGTTTGTTCTCTTTAAACTGGCAAGGAGACTCGGCATATTTAAGTGGGCTAGCCTGCCCCGTGAACCCACTGTTCTGGGTTCTTCTGTCTCCCACCTCGGGCACGGAAAATGAGAGGAATCCTCACCTCTTGCCTCCCTCCAACAGCATGTGTGCAAGGCCCTGAATAAGAGCTAAGAAGGATTTCTGAGGACAGGAAGGGATGGGGGTGTCAGGGAGGCCCAGGTTGGAGTCTTCCTCTGGACTTGGGTGAACTACTCATCCAAAACCCAGCTCAAATCTGCAGGCAGCCATCTGCCTTCCCCTCGGATCCGGCCCTCCTGCCTGCCATGGAAGTTTCTATTTTCCCGTCTCCCTCCAGATGAGGGACCCCAATGTCCCACAAGCACAAGGAAGAAAAATCCACCAGACTAGGCACAGGGACCGATATCTCCCAGCACAGGAAGGTGCGGGGCGTGGGGGTTCCCACCCCTGGGAGTCGGAGGATCCCACACAGCTCTGGGGCCTTCAGTGTCTGTGTGTAACTTCCTGGGGCTGCGGCCCAGAGAAGGCGCTCAGCAGACAGGAACCTCTCCTTAGTGACGTGTGCACCTGTTTGGTGGTCCCCCCAAAATGCAAGGTCCAGAGAGAAGGCCGGGTTCAAGGAGCTTTCTGGGCCCCGTTTGCGGCCTACAACCCCCTCCCCCTCTGAGAACCCCCACAGGCCTCACCCTTAATCCATCCGATCTTGGGGCTCTGGGCGCCCCTCATTGTGTAGTCCCGCCACCCCCTAGCCCTTTCCCCTCCCCCTCTGGTCTTCCGGCTTCCTCTGAGCCCCTCCCCTTCCGGAATCCTTTCCTCCCCCCACTTTGGGGGAGCCCCTCCCCTCTCTTTAAGACCCTCCCCCAGCACAAGCCTCCCAAGGATCCTAACTACCTGCCCTCCCCTCCCTTCCCCCACCCAGCCAGCCCACCACCCCCTCCCACTCCCTCTGCACCTGGGTACCACACCCCGCAGCCAGTGGGGGGAGGTTTATTTAAACAGGATGGGTCAGGGCGTCCAGAAGAGGTGTTGGGGGGAACAAGACAGGGGAGGGATCCCCCAAGATCTAGCCTCCCGCTACCCCCCATCAGCACAGCACGGTCCCTCCCACCCGCCTCCGCCGGCCCTCCCCTCCTCCTCCTCTTCTCCATCCTTCTACCACCTTGGGCAGATGAAGATGAGGTTGCCATGGCAACGCTGATTCACCCCGCGGAAGCTGGCAGTTTTTGCTGCCATGGAAACCCCCTCCAAGAGGGCCCCCTCGGAGTCCACATCTTGCCTCTCACAAAAGAGATATTTAAATATAATCTTTGGGAGATGGATGAACCGAGACAGAGATCCTGTCTCCAACACCCATTCTTGGGTGGGGGGGTCCCTATCTCTTCTGCATCCTCACAGCCCGTCCAACACTGGACCTGGGGTTTTGTGCCTCTGAGAGCATCCTTTGAGCCTCTGGGTCAACTTGGTGACAAGGGGTCCCCAGGGGTCACAGAGAGCCATGGAGCACCCCCTTATCACAACCACGTTCCCACCCTCAGGCCCTGAGTCTGGCTTACCTACCCCATGGAGGCGCACCCTGGCTGGCATCCATATGCTTCTGTCCCCACACACCCTGCTACACACCAGCGTTGGGGAGATAGGGCTCCCTGCACCTTCTGGTGCCCTAGCCGGCCCACCTCCTTCCATCTCCCTCTCTCCATCTGTCCCCCCCAAGGTGCCCTCCCTCCCCCACCTTCCACATCCCATCCTGCCCCCTCCAGTCCTCTGTGCTTTACCCAACACCATTTCAGGTAGAGTGATGGGGGGGCAACCTGCAGGGGGACCCTCACTAGTCTGGCACAGAAAGTTACCCAGAAACTAGAGGAGATGGGAGTTTCAGCGGGTTTTGAGGAGTGAGTAGGAGTTTAGTGGGAGAGATGAGGACCAGCTCTGCTTGGAGTCAGAGCTTGCATGGCCCCATTTCATGTCTAAGCAGTATTATGGGATGGATACTTATTTCCATTTTACAGGTGGAGAAAGAGGAGATGACGAGGCCGAGTTTCTGCTTGTGTTTTCGAAGTTGTGCCCAAGGACCCAGGTGTTCCTGGTCTGCGGCTCAGAAGCAGGTTGGGTCCTCAGGTGATTGGGACCCCATCCTCACTCTGCCCTCAGCACTCTGGGAGTCACACAATTGGCAGAACAAGTTCCTTGACGCCTGAGCCATGAGTTACAGACAGGCAAACTGAGGCCTCTACAGGGAGAGAGACCAGAAGAAAGTCTGCTGGCCTAGTTGGGGCAACACAGAATTCATCTCAAGTTGCAAATCCTTTGAAGATTCCAGGCCCCTGGGAAACCTCACCCAACCAGGCTGTTTCTGGCCTGTTCCCACCCTTGCTAATCAGATTGACCTGCAGAGGCAGAAAAGGGACAGGGTCTGTCTGTCACAACACAAACCAACCTCGATTCATCCTAGGAAAGACAGGAGACAGACCAAACACCCCATAACTGCAGATAGATAAATCTTGCTGTTGGGCTGCAGAATACTACGTAGCAATGAAAAGGGTTGGATGAAACTGTCCCACGCTGAGTACTGGGTGAAATAAACAGCTCATAGTCATGGGCCATTGCAAGTAAGGGCTTATAGAGTGGCGTTTTAAAAGATGGAAAGAAGCCAGGCTAGTGGCTATAAAAGCCAGGAGGTGCCTCTTGAAAAAAAAAATTTTTTTTTGGTCTTTTTGAGACAGGGTCTCCCTGTAGCCCTAGCTGACCTGGAACTCACTATGTAGACCAGGCTGGCCTCAAATCACAGAGATCCACCTGCCTCTGCCTCCCGAGTGCTGGGTTTAAAGGCCTGTGTCATCACACCTGACTGATAAATTTTATTCTATTTGTAGGAGTGTTTTGCGTGCATGTATGTAGCTGTGCCCATGTTGTGCAGTGCCCACGGAGGCCAGAAGAGGGTGTCAGATCCCCTGCTGTTGGGTCCTGGGAAACTGAACTTAGGTCCTCTGCAAGAACTCTATGGGTTTTTTTTTGTTGTTGTTGTTTGTTTTCGGTCTTTCTGAGACAGGTTCCTGGCTGGCCTGGAACTCACCATGTAGACTAGACTAGCCTTGATTTCACAGAAATATGCCTGCCTCTGCCTCCTGAGTGCTGGGGTTAAAAGTGTGCACCACCAGGACTGGAGAGATGGCTCAGTGGTTAAGAGCACTGACTGCTCTTGCAGAGGACCCAGGTTCAATTCCCGGCACCCACATGGCAGCTACAAACCGTCCTTAACTCCAGTCCAGTTTCAGGGGATCCAAAGCCCTCTTCTGACCTCCGTGGCATTGCATGACACGGGTGCACTCACATACATGCAGGCAATACACTCATACACATAAAATAAAAATAATAAAATGTTTTTTAAAAAGTATGTACCACCAGGCCTGGTTAGTCTAGAACATTCTAAATTGCTAACATCTGATAAGGTAGCTAGCTTCAGGGTCTAGAATATCCTGTATCTCCAGCATACAATCTGACAGCTGTCTTCCAGTTTAGAACATTCTACATTGCTAAATGCCCACTTATGTTAGCCAGCTTCAGTATCTAGAACATTCTAGATTTCTAACATTCACTACAGTGGGTAGCCACATGCTCTAGAATATTCAGATCTCTAATTTCCACTATGGCAACTGGTCTGGAACACACCGTGATGTGCAGCCCTGCCTGCCCTTCCGCCCCCGCTTGTGTCTGTAAACAGCTGTCTTGGCACATAGCTCTGTTGTCCCCTCTCAGCAAATGTTTTTATACTTCAAGTAGCTGCCATGGGGGCTGTGTGGTCCGCCAAGCAAAAAACATTGGCTCTTTTAGCATTTACGGGAAAAGTACTGACCCTTACTGTACAGCACTCTGAATGATGCTGTCCAATATGGCGACCACTACCACATGGGGGCTGTCTGGCACTTCGAACGTGGTGTGGAGGACACAGGAATGGAATTTAAGCTCCATTTTGTCATAATGAATGCAACTATCCATTTAAAGGCAATACCTGATGTCTTTCTTGGGAAAGTTTACATATGTTACAATCTAGAAACTGAGTACTGTTTCAACCACTTACTATATAAATGATCACAAACCTCAGGTGCACTTAATGAAAATTTTGTATCCTGTGCCAGGGTGGGGTTCATGCCTATAATCCCACAATGCAGGAGGCTGCCATGAGTTCAAGGCCAGTCTTGGCTACAGACTGAGACTTTGTTTTTAAAAATTAGGCAATAAAACAACTGTAGTGGTAGAGGCCTGCCTCCCAACACTTGGGTAGAGGCAGGATGATCAGGAGTTCAGGGACATCCTCAGCTACATAGTGAGGTCAAGGCTAGCCTGAGGTACATAAAAAAAAGATTGGACCCAAATTTGTGAGAGCACAAGATGATAGATTTTTGAACAGTCAGTATAGGGAAAAAAAAGAATGTGAAATCCCCACTATTATTTTCCATTTGTTCACATGTTAAAATGATGAGATTTGGAGTGTACCCAGTAAAAATGAAATCTATTATTAAAAGTAATTTTACTTCTCCAGCACCTGAAAACAGGATTTTGTTTGGGAAAAAGGGTTTCAGGAAAGTAAAGACATGGATGGAGCCTGAGTTAGCCCTGTCCCCCCAGGGGAGCCTGGCAGAAAAGCAGGGACACAGTGATGAGGGTACTGAGAGAGGAGAGGCCAGGAGAGCAGAGCAGGGCCCAGAAAGGAAAGATGAGATGTGCCTGGGTGATCAAGAGCTGGAGGAGCCAGACACAGACAGCTTAGGGGAGTGATGGGAAATTCCTGCTGATGGAAACCTACTGATGTGAGAGAAAATATACAGATGCTTAAGGCACCATGAAGCCAGGTCTCCTCAACATGGCAATGAAGTGAAGGAACAATGGATGGGTTGATGGATGGACAGATGAGTGGATGGATGGGTGGGTGGATGGGCGGATGGATGGATGGGTGAGTGTGTGGATGGGTAGATAAATGGGTGGAGGAATGGATGGATGGGTGGGTAGATGGATGGACTGATGGGTAGATAGATGGGTGGATGGATGGATGGATGGATAAGTGGATGGACAGATGAGTGGATAGTTGGATGGGTGGGTGAGTGGGTGAATGGATGGTGGGTAGATGGGTGGATGGACTGATAGATGGATGACTGGATAGATGGGTAGGTGCATAGTTGGATGGGTGAGTGGGTAGATGGTTGAATGAATTGGTAGATGGATAGATGGATGGGTGATGGATGGGCAGGTGGATAGATGGAAAGATGGGTGGATGAGTGGGAGGATGGATGGATGGTTGGGTGTGTGGGTGGATGGATGGATGTGTGGTTGGATTGATGGTGGGTAGATGGATGGGGGAAGATGGTTGGGTGGATAGGTAAAGGGATAGATTGATAGATGGATGGGTAGATGGTTGGGTGGATGGGTGGGTGGATGGATGAATTAGTAGATAGATAGACAGATAGATGATAGATGATAGATAGATGATAGATAGATAGGTAGACAGATAGATGATAGATAGATAGATAGATAGATAGATAGATAGATAGATAGATGATAGATGATAGACAGATGGATGGGTGGATGGGTGGGTGGCCGGGTGATTGTGTGGACGGCGGGTGTGTTCCTTGTAGGATACGTGACACCTTATCAGGTCCTTCAGCCTTTCCTGTGTTGTGTGGGTGACATTTGAATTTTTAAGTTTGTGTCATACTAGGGTGAATTTTTAAGTTTGTGTCATACTAGGGTGAATTTTTAAGTTTGTGTCATACTAGGGTGAATTTTTAAGTTTGTGTCATACTAGGGTGAATTTTTATAAAAACTGAGCATCTATTTCTGAAGAGCTCACTCAGGTTTAATGCGCCCTCCACACAAGCATGAGGACCTGAGTTCGAGCCCCACTGTCCACACGCATCACCAGGTGGTGCATCTTACTCCCTGACCATTGGAGGTGGTACAGGCATGTCTCTGTACACAACTGCCAGTCTAGCCTACTTGATAAATTCTAACCCAGGGAGACATCCTTCCTCAAAAAAACAGAGTAGGTGGTTTCCTAATGATGGACAGTGTGGGTGTTCTCTGCTGTCCACACGAGCACACACATGCAAGAACACATGCACATCCTCTATTGCAGATGTTCCAGCCTTTGCAATGCCATGCACTGTGAGGAGCTCCCCGGAGTCAAACAAATCCCAGCACCATGCCTCTTACTCTACAACTCTAAGCTAAATACTTTGCTTTATAAATTCCCCAGTGTGAGGTAGGTTGTTATGGTCACACACACAAAAATCAGATGAAAACTTCATGTTTTGGGGTTTGTTTTTTTTTTTGAGGTGTTATCTTGTTTACGACCACTGTGTTTTCAGTTTTTTCCCCCACCCCAAACTGTCACACTATTTCAAGTGCCAAAGATCAGAGAAGTCAAGTCACTGGTTCCCTGTCACACAGCAAGGAAAGGTCGGAGCTGAGTGAGGCTCTAGTTTCCTTTGTATAGGAGAAACAGAAGCACTCTAGTCTCTGCTTTGTGGCTCACAGGATCTCCTCAGTCCTTACCTCATGTCCATACCCCATCCTCTCTCCTCCTCCTTCCTCCCTCTCTACGCCTTAATCACTCTGCTCCAGCCTCCTTGATGCTCCTCCAACACCCCAGGCTCCACCCTGCCTCAGGACCTTTGCACAGCTCTGTCCTCTGTCCCAGGGCCTTTGCAGGAGCTGCTCTGTCTGCCTATCCATGAGATGCATTTCTGTTCAGACCCACTTGTGCAGTATACAGCCTGCTCAACTGTATGCAGTCATGTTGCTGTAAAGTACAGAGCTGGCACACAGTAGGCAACTGGGAGCTCGCATCAGTCATCTCTGCTGCTTTATCTCTTATATCTCGTTCTCAGTTCAGAGGCGCAGACATGCAGCCTGGATCCCCCAAGGCTGAGAGTGACCCTGACCCCCCCTCACTGGGCAGGATGGAAGACTTACCCCCGGCAGGGTCTTCTGTTCGTGCAGGGCCGTCTGAGCTTTGATGGCCGAGTCTCTAGCGCAGTAGGTGAGGAAGGCACAGCCTGGTGGGAGAACCAATATGTGAGAGAAGAGGGCAGGCACCATGTGCACAGTTTCGAAATTCTCAAGAGCCTGAAGGTGGGGACAACCCAGGATACATGGATGGCCACTCCCAGCCTGGACAGCCACACCCTAGATTATTACTCAGTCATGAACAAGAGTGAGGCTCCAGCGTGCAGCAGATCACGCAGGGACCCCAACGACATTGTGTTCAGTGAGACCCAAACACAAATGCCATACAGTATGGGACTCCATGACAGGAAATGTCCAGAACAGGATAACCCAGAGGAAGGAAGTGGATTAATGGGTGCAGAGGGAGGAGATGAGATGTTAGTGTTTAAGGAGGGCAGATTGGGAAGATGTTAACTTTATGTGGGTGGATGGTGATGGCCACACAGCTACATGAACAAGCTTTGAGTGGCCAACCTTCATGCTCACAAATGGCAAAGGGCTAGCCTGGGTGTCCAGGGCCTGCCCAACACATAAGGCCCAGACTCCACCCCAGCACTGCAACAAAAAAAAAAGTGTTGAAGATTCAACATTAAAATTGTATAAATCTTAGCCAGGCGTGGTGGTGCATGCCTTTAATCCCAGCACTCCGGAGGCAGAAGCAGGCAGATCTCTATCAGATGGAGGCCAGCCTGGTCTACATAGTGAGTTCCAGGACAGTTGGGGCTACAGGGAGACTCTGTCTCAAAAAGAGCAAATTTTTTTTAATTAAAAAAATCAAGTTGTATAAATTTTGCAATAAAAATCAAGCTGGGGAGCTAGGCATGGTGATGCACACCTTTAACCCCAGCACTCAGAGTCAGAGGCGGGTGAATATCTGTCAGATGGAAGCCAGCCTGGTCTACACAGTGAGTTCCAGGACAGCTGGGACTAGAGGGAGACCCTGTCTCAAAACCAAACAAACAAAAATTGGGTTAGGCTTGGCAGCACATGCCTGTCACCTCAGCACTCAGGAAGCTGAGGCAGGAGAATCAGGTGTTCAAGATCAGCCTTGGCTACATAACGAGTTCAAGGCCAGCCTGGGCTACAGGAGACCCTGTGTCAAAAACCCAAAAAGAGCCAGGCATGGTGGTGTACACCTTTAACCCTAGCACTCAGGAGGCAGAGGCACAGAGAGCTCTATGAGATTGAAGCCAAACTGGTCTACATAGCAAGTTCCAGGTCAGCTGGGGCTACAGAGGGACCCTGTCTCAAAAAAAAAAAAAAAGAGAGAGAAATAAGAAGAGGAGGAGGAGGAGGAGACGGAGGAGGAGGAGGAGACGGAGGAGGAGGAGGAGACGGAGGAGGAGGAGGAGACGGAGGAGGAGGAGGAGACGGAGGAGGAGGAGGAGACGGAGGAGGAGGAGGAGACGGAGGAGGAGGAGGAGACGGAGGAGGAGGAGGAGACGGAGGAGGAGGAGGAGACGGAGGAGGAGGAGGAGACGGAGGAGGAGGAGGAGACGGAGGAGGAGGAGGAGACGGAGGAGGAGGAGGAGACGGAGGAGGAGGAGGAGACGGAGGAGGAGGAGGAGACGGAGGAGGAGGAGGAGACGGAGGAGGAGGAGGAGACGGAGGAGGAGGAGGAGACGGAGGAGGAGGAGGAGACGGAGGAGGAGGAGGAGACGGAGGAGGAGGAGGAGACGGAGGAGGAGGAGGAGACGGAGGAGGAGGAGGAGACGGAGGAGGAGGAGGAGACGGAGGAGGAGGAGGAGACGGAGGAGGAGGAGGAGACGGAGGAGGAGGAGGAGACGGAGGAGGAGGAGGAGACGGAGGAGGAGGAGGAGACGGAGGAGGAGGAGGAGACGGAGGAGGAGGAGGAGACGGAGGAGGAGGAGGAGACGGAGGAGGAGGAGGAGACGGAGGAGGAGGAGGAGACGGAGGAGGAGGAGGAGACGGAGGAGGAGGAGGAGACGGAGGAGGAGGAGGAGACGGAGGAGGAGGAGGAGACGGAGGAGGAGGAGGAGACGGAGGAGGAGGAGGAGACGGAGGAGGAGGAGGAGACGGAGGAGGAGGAGGAGACGGAGGAGGAGGAGGAGACGGAGGAGGAGGAGGAGACGGAGGAGGAGGAGGAGACGGAGGAGGAGGAGGAGACGGAGGAGGAGGAGGAGACGGAGGAGGAGATGGAGGAGGAGGAGGAAGAGATGGAGATGGAGGAGGAGAAGATGGAGGAGGAGGAGGAGATGGAGGAGGAGGAGGAGGACATGGAAGAGGAAGAACAAAGGAAATGGCTGGGAGCTGATGTCAAATAAAGGTGAAAGCAGGTTCCAAAGGTGGAATTGGGCCTGGGCCATCTCTGTGAGACCTGGAGGTTGATGGCCCTCATGCGACTTTGCATCCCTTAGCCTGGGGCTCAGTTCACAGAGGGAAACCGCCCTGGGCACACAAAGGCGCTCGGCGCTGTCCGCGGTACTGAAGCAGACCCTGGGTCTCCCCGGTCTCCTGGCCTTTCTGCTTTTTAGGTGAGTTAATAATAATGTGTGACTAGGAGGCTCATGAAGTGCGGTTCCTGTCAGGCCCAGGGCAAATATCAAACCCTAGCCCCAGGCTGTGTCTTTCCTCAGGAGTATGGCTCCTTCCACTCAGTATCCGCAGATCCAACTTGTTGTACTGCCTCATAAGGAAATTTTCTCAACAATTCATTTAAACAATGCCAACTCCCACATGCCCAGCCACCAGGGATATCACCAATCCATCCATCCATCCATCCATCCATCCATCCATCCATCCATCCATCCATATATGCATCAATCCACCCATTCATCCACCCACCCATCCACCTGCCCATTTACCTATCCATCCATCCATCCTCCCACCATCCATTCATCCACCCTTCCACTCACCCATCCATCCACCCACCCACCCAACCACCTACCAATCCATTCATCCACCCATCCTCCCACCACCCATCCATTATCCACCCATCCACCTCCACGCAGCCAGTTCCCAAAGAAAACTCCACTTCTCACCCCATTTCCAGCACCCTGTGTCCCTCTCTGACCCAGTACATCATCTTCTCCCTTGCATGGCTTTCCAGGGTAGTGTGCCTTCGCGAATGCTGTTTCCTGCCCCCAGATCACCTTTCCCACCCACAAATACCTGGCACATGTCTTGTGTCAGGAGGTTAATTAGAACCCCCCATCATGACTTCATTTCAGTTCCTTCTTGTAAGATGCTGGTCCCCAATATCTTCTTAAAGACAGCCGGGGAAACTGAGGCATGGAGCGGGATGAGGCCTGGTTTGAAGCCACCAGAGTAACTCCAGCAGGGGCCATGTTCCTGAAAGCACCCAGCAGTGACCTGGGGTAAATTGTCCTCCCCCCACCTGTGTCAGGCTGCGTGTGCGTGTGTGTGTGTGTGTGTGTGTGTGTGTGTGTGTGTGTGTGTCCCGAAAGCCAACCTTGTCCCTCCAGAGCCCCAGCGTCCAGGCCTTCCCCAAAGCAGCAGTGGCTCCCACTGTAACAGTGGGCCAGACCCGGCCCCCATTGTACCATCCCTTCAGAGTGCCATAGCGTATGACAAACACTGTCATTAACATGGAAATGTTTATGAAATCACACTTGGGGCAACTGGGTGGTCAGACAGACCCAGGGTAGAGCAGGTGGACACCCCCTTGGGATGGAAGGAACCCCAAGGGGGTGGTCTGTCTTCCCTGGGTGGTGGAGGGCAGAAGGAGCCTTAAATTCAGCCCAGGGTGTAGCCTGAGCTGTGGCTGGAGTGGGGCCTCACTATCTCGGTAGGTCCAGGTGTCTCTCTTCCCCTTTACCTCTGGATATTTCTGATTAGCACTTGGGGACTTGCTCCATCCTGGGGACCCACCCCACTGCTCTGGACCATCTAAGAGGTGCAGAAACAACATCACAGAGATATCGGCAGGACATCCCAAGTTCTCTCTTTTGGCCAAGAACCCCCAAATTCCCATTAATTCTATCTCCATTGACCTGAGACCCAGAGAGGGGCAGACACTGCCCCTAAGTCACACAGTACAGGCCCAAACAAAGGCCCACCTGTCTTTGCAGCCATGGTCTCACATAGCCCAGGCCAGCCTGGAACTCCCTATTAGCTGAGGATGGCACTGAGCTCCTGATCCTCCTGCCTCAACCTCTGGAATCCTGGGATGACATGCATGCACCCCCACACCCCTGACTTCCAAACATCGATTCAGATGTGGCAGGCCTATTCTCTCCACCTCTGAGGACTTGACATGACAGGGAGTGTGTGCGTGTGTGTGTGTGTGTGTGTGTGTGTGTGTGTGTGTGTGTGTGTATCTGGAAGCCCCTCAATCACTCAGGCCTCATGTCCCTGCCAAGCAGACCCTGACTGCCCTAATTTCCATCTTGGTCAGCCTGTGGCTAACCCCCACACCGCCCCTTCATTACTGTCCCGGGTCCGGAATTTCCAGGGAAGCCTTTTTAAAAGAGAAAAACAGCTGGGCATGGTGGCGCACACCTTTAATCCCAGCACTTGGAAGGCAGAGGCAGGCCGATCTTTGTGAGTTCGAGGCCAGCGTGGTCTACATAGTGAGTTCCAGGACAGCTGGGGCTACAGGGAGACCCTGTCTCAAAAAAGAAAAGGAGAAAAACAAGACTGCATTCACACTGCCCTGTCTTTCCAGGTCACTCTGGCACCAGTGCCTTTTGAAGCCACGTTGGGGACACCACCATTTCCCATCAGAAGTTTCCAGAAATGATTGCTTTGCACAGACATGGGTGAGTCTGGACTGATCCACAGGTGGGAATTAAATTCTCTAGATCTCCCCTCTTTTGGGGATGATGTTGGTTTAGAAAAGCTGTGGGGAGATGGGGCTGTTCCCCCCTGTCCAGCAGGTGCCAGTCTGGGGCCTGGGGACCTGAACACTGGCTCCGCCCCCATCTGTCACAGCTCACTTGCTCCCTCACCCTCCTCCCTCCCCTCCCTCCCTCACTAATGCACTCCCAATTGTCATTCACCTGTGTGTCATTTGCCATTTATTAATTTGCTCATCCCTCAGCCACACTTCATCCATTCCCTCCCTCAGTTTCCTCTGTCTGCAACCATTCTCACACTGACCCATCCACCCACCCATCCATCCATCCACCCATCCATCTGTCCACCCACACATCCACCCATCCATCTGTCCACCCATCTATCCATCCACCCATCCATCCATCCATCCATTCCTCTGTCCACCCATCCATTCATCCATCTGTCCATCCATCCATCCACCCACCCACCCATCTAACCACCCATCCATCCATCCACCCATCCACCCATCTAACCGCCCATCTATTCATCCATCCATCCATCCATCCATTCATCCATCCATCCATCCATTTATTCATTGGGTCACCTGTCCATCCATCCACCCATCCACCCATCCACCCATCTATCCACCTATCCATCCATCCACCCATCCACCCATCCATCCATCCGTCCACCCATCCATCCATCCACCCATCCATCTGTCCACCCACACATCCACCCATCCATCCATCCACCCATCCATCCATCCACCCACCTATCCATCCATCCACCCATCCACCCACCTATCCATCCATCCATCCACCCATCCATCTATCCATCCATCCACCCATCCACCCATCTATCCATCCATCCACCCATCCACCCATCTATCCATCCATCCATCCATCCACCCATCCACCCATCTATCCATCCATCCATCCATCCATCCAGCTGTCTCATTCACCCACCAGCCTTCTTCAGCAGGTGGGTCTGCAATGGGTTCCAGCTCCCCACAACTAAGGGACATCCTGGGGCCTTGCTGAAGACAGAGACCCCCGTGTGACCAGCAGAGGCCTTGCATTCCCTCCCCAAGTCCCCAACACCTGCCTGCAGCTTGTCAAAGCCACCCAGGTTCAGACACTGGGACCCAGAGCAAGCTGGATGATGCTTGGTGACTCTGTCCCCAGGTGTCACTGTCAGAGGAAGAGGAGAGGCCTCCACCTGCCCACATGGCTCCCCTCCTCTCCCCTCCCCCCTTCCTCCCCTCCCCCTCCTCATCCCTGTCCCTGTCCACAGGGTCTGGCTGACACCTCTCATTGTCTGGGCCTCAGCACTGGCTGGAACCGGAGGAGTAGCAACGGGAGGACCACCTGGTCCTCCCAAGCCCCGAGGCGCCCCGTCTCCTGCGCCCCCCCTCGTCCCTCACCAGGGCAGTTACCGGTCAGCCCCGGGTGCTGGACATGTGTCCCCAGCCAGCTGCTTGCTTTGTGAGACGAGGCTCCAGGTCCAGAGATGGAAAGTTCCCGAAAGCTAGGGTGGGGGAAGGGAAGGTGGGGGTCCCTGGCCTCCTGGCACAGGGTGGGAGTGTTGGGGGGGTCTAGGAATGGGAGGGAGTGGGGGAAAGAGAGGGAGATGCCGGAGAGGATGGAGGGAGATGACGGAGAGAGGGAGGAGGGAGTGGGGAGGAGGGAGAGGGGGCGGAGGACGGGAGGGGGCAGCTGGATCCGAGCGGCACCCCTGGGGTGGAGGGGGTGCAGGGGGAGGGAGGGTGATGGGGGGATAAGCAGGGGAGACTTGGGGTGCAGGGGTTGCATCCGTGGATGCTGGGGAGAAGGGATCCAGAAGCTCAATGTGCAAAAGGGAGAGTCAGGGGTGCAGGATTTAGAAAGAGAGGCTGAGCATGTAGAAAAAAGGGTGCAGAGTTCAGGGGTCTGGGACCGGGAACAGGGGTTCAGGAGTACAGGAGATTGGTTCAGGGGTAGAGGAGGTGGGGAGTAAGGGGAGATGTAGGGATTCGGGGGTGCAGGTGAAGAAAGAGATTCAGGGTTCTGAAGTACGGGGCTCAGAGATCCAGGAGGTGAGGTGTAGGGCTTCAGGGGCACAGGAGATGGGGAACAATGATTCAGGAACACAGCAGGTGGGGTTCAAGGGTTAAGGGGTGCAGGAGATGGGGTACAAGGGTGCAGAAGGCGGGGTGCAGGGAGGGGTACAGAGTTTAGGGGTGCAGGGTTCTGGGATGCGGGGTGCAGGGGGCAGGGCTCAGGGATGCACGCGGCAGGTGAGGGTTCTGGGGTCCCGGCGCGGGCGCGGCCGCCCACCTTTGTGCACGCCGGTGTGCGGATCCTTGAGCACCGTGAGCTCGTAGATGCGGCCGAACTGCTCGAAGAGCGGCTTGAGGTCCTGCTCGTGCAGGTGGCGCGGGATCTGCCCCACGAACAGCTTGATGGCGTCCAGGTCCTTCATGCCGTCGGGCCGCGCCCGGGGCGCTCGGCCGCTGCCGCCCACAGGCCGCCGGGCAGTAGCCGCGTCCTCGGTCCGCGGCCGCCAGAGTCAGCGCTGCACAGCGCGGCCAGCGCCCCCGGCGGCCAGCCCAGGAACTGCAGGGGGAAGGGAAGGGAGGAGGGGGAGGGGGAGGAGAAAAAAGAGAGGAGGAGGGGGAGGAGACAGGAAGGGGTGGGAGGAGGGAGAGGAGAGGGGAGGAGGGGGGAGGGGGAAGAGGAGGGGGATCATGGGGCAAACTGAGGCAGGGGCAAAGGGACAGTCACAGAGGAAGCTGAGGTCTGCAGTGGGACAGGGTCACAGGGTAAACTGAGGCCTGGATGGGAAGCTGGTGGAGGAACCAGAGGAGGCCTGAGGCCTGGAGGGACATAGAGACACTGAGACCCAGGGGTTCACAGAGAAATGGGGACCCCACGGGGAAATTGAGGCCCAGAGAAGATGACGCACTTGGCGAGGTCACACAGCAGGACTCAAACTCGGCCCAATTCGGGAAGGCCAGACACCTCCCATGATCCCTTCTGTCTTCCCCATGCTCCAGATAGCCCAGCCTCAGTTTCCCTAGTCTCCAAGTCATACTACAGAACGAACAGGCTGGATGCCATATGGCTTCCTAATCGGTGGCTGCCGTTATCGCCATCCGCGAGCCCCTGGCCAACGCCACGTAAACACGAGGCTGCAGACCGCGGAGGAGCCGGGGTGGGGGTCGGGGTCAACTACAAACACCCTGTCCTTGGCCTGCTGCGCCTGCCTGGTGCTGGGGCTCCGTGAACGCAGGGCCTGGCTAGGGAGGCTGGTCCTCACACAAGCTCCGTTTCCATGGAGACGGGAGCAGGATGCTTGGAGCCCCTCGAGCCTCCGTGCTGGGAGAATCGTTAAAAAGAATCAAGTGGGGGTGTGGGGGTGGCAGAGAGCCATCAACCCTTCCAGGAGCTAAAGATGGGTTTTTGTTTTGTTTTTTCTTTTGGTCTTTTGACACGGGGTCTCCCTGTAGCCCTAGCTGTCCTGGAACTCATTATGTAGACCAGGCTGGCCTTGAACTCACAGAGATCTGCCTGCCTCTGCCTCCCAAGTGCTGGGATTAAAGGTGTGCACCACCACAGCCGGCAGGCTGTTAGTTTTTAAGACAGGGTCTTGGTGTGGAACCGTGAAGCCCGCATCCCCCTGCCTCAGTCTCCCCACTCAGCAGGCCTGGTTTTGAAGACTCATTTTTCCTTTAGCCTGTTTAGTCCTCAAAACAAGTCCATACTGCAAGAGGGGAGGAACCTGTCCAGCTGGCCTGGGTCCCCAGAACTTCAAGCACCCTTGGGGTTCTAAAAGTGTTTCTAGAATTTCTTTCCTGATACCCCCCACCTACCCATCCTGGCTGTACCAGGGAAGAGGCTCCAGCCCTGGGAAGCAGCACTGGTGGGGGGCCTGTTTCTTCATCAACCCATTCTGGAACCTTTTTCTACAGCTGTGTCCTCCACCCCAGGACCTGGACCTTTGCACACCTGTGTCCTCTGCCCCAGGACTTGGACTTTGCATCCCTGTGTCTTCCCTCCTGGGTCTCTAGAAACTGATTCTCAGTCTCTGTGCAATATTCGGGTCTGAGTAGTCCTCTGTGGTGGGGCATACGGGACCCTACAGGGCATTGAGCAGGGTGCCTAGCCTCCACCCAGTCCACGCTGGAGCTCCCCCAGTTGTTAACAACCACACAGGTCCCCAGACATTGATGAGCGTCCCCAGAGGGCAGTCACCCCCAGCTGTGACCCCCCAAACTAAAAACTTGGAGGCAGGTACCGTAGTGCACGCCTGTCACCCAAACACTTAGAAAGCTAGGGCAGGACTGCAGTGTTTGAAGGCACCCAGGATTGCAGTCTCAAAAACTGGGGGGATGGCTTAGTGCATAAAGCATCTACCACACAAGCTGAGTTGAGATCCCCGGAACCATGTAAAAACCTGGGTGCAGTGGTACACACCTATGACCCCAGCGTCAGGGAGACAGACAGGAGGATACTTGGGACTCACTGGCCAGATAGACTGGCTCAATCAGGGACTCCAGGTTCAGTGAAAAGTGGGTGGGTCAAAACACCAGATAAAATGATCATTAAAGGGGTGGCAAGAGGGCTCAATGGGGGCTTGTGGCCCAGCCTGCCAAACTGAGTTCTGTCTCCAGGACCTACATGGTGGGAGGTGAGAACCAACTCCTTCACGTGTGCACATCAACACAGAAAGAACAACAGTCAAGAGTTGTGGCTTCTTTTGTGCCCAGAAGGCTCCTCACGTGTCTGGGCATGAGTGACTGACCTGTCACATATTCAAAACAGTCCTAATGCTCCTGGAGCATTTGAATCCTTTCTGGATTCAAAGGTCAGCACAGATGTCTTGCCTCCTCCCATCCCCATCACCCTGCCAGGCTCACATGGAGGACAGATGCTGACAGGGCAACCCAGCACTCAGAAGGCAGAGGCAGGAAGATCAGGAGTTTAGGGTCATCCTTGGCTACACAGTGTGTTCCAGGCTAGCCTGGGTTACACAAGACCCCACCTGAGAGAATGACAAAATACGTAAAAATAAATCACCATGCAGAGAGAGCTGCCAGGTTGTGCCACTAATGGTAGCCGAGTTGGCCAGGAGCCAGAGGGTGTCCAACACTCGACTGTACTCTGTGATGCTAGGGACACAGGTCGAGGGGCACTTAGGGCCCCGCTGACTAGTCTGAATCATCTTATCCACATGCCATGGTGACAGGACCCCAAGTAGCAGCTGAACTGGGGTTTGCTATCAGAAGTGGGTGGGGCCTTGAGTGGCAGGCACAACCTAGAGAGGGTCCTAGACCAAGGGTAGGGTGACAGGGACCCGTCCAAGAGCAGAGGGACCATGACCCCAAGATGGTGACAGGTGCAATCGTTCAATATGGCTTTATTTTCTAAACCCGGCAACTTTGACCCCCACCCCCTGGACGGCCCATCTGTCCCACCTTCCAGAAACGGGGGAGGTGGAGATGCCACAGGGAGATACCGTGTCATCCCCTCCCAGGACAAGTCCCCTCATCATAGGACACAGGGTCCCAGGGGGCAGTGCTGGCCTGTGGGTGGGTTGGGTGTGTACAGGGTGGACCTGGCCTCAGCAGGAACCAGGGTCCCCAGCCTGACACCCCAGGCTCATATTGCTATCGAACGGGTCACCGTAGGTCCCTGAGATCAACCCGGTGGGCGCTGTGGTCCCCTACTGCCTCCCCAGGGCACACACCTCAGGGTACCCTGATGGTGTTAGGGCCTCACACTGAAGGCCAGCTGCGGCCACTGCAGACCAAGGGGGATGCCCCAGCCTGGCTCCATCAGATGCTGTGGCATGGGGTGGGGTCCCCAGAACAAATCACAGGCAACAGGAGGGGAAACAGGCTGGGGAGGGGGAACAGGGCAGCGAGGAGGGGAAACTTCAGGGGCATAGGCTCCCCATCCAGGGCCACCCTGGGTCCCCCAGCATCCCCAGCCTTTGGTCCTAGGGGACAGGTACAGTGGGCAGCCACAGGATGGGGGGGACTGAGGCTAGAACTTGGGGTGGCTCAGGTTCAGCATGGGGACCAGGCAGGTCCAGTGATGCCGAGGGGATGGGTGGAGGCAACCAGCCTGGGCAGGGGTGGGTAGGAGGCTGATGACAGTGGGGGATGCTGCTGCTACTGGCCACCAGGTCCTGTGAGAGGCAAGGCCAGGCATGGTGGCCTTGGGGGAGGCCACTGGGTGTCATCAGGGAGGACTGGGATGCAGAAGCCCCAAGGCTGCCAGCGCAGGTGGGTGACTGTTGTGTCCCTGCTGGGCTCACCCTCAGGAAAGTGCCAGGAAACAGAGGGGTGCCCCCAACTCCAGCCCAGCAGCCACTGTGACTCAGTTCTGGCCGCCAAAGGTTTTCCGGTGGCCGGTTCCTCACCACTGACTGTGTATGGTGGGTGGTCACTGCGCCTTGACCTTCAACAGCAGCCTCTGCACCATCTCGTAGAGCAGGTGGAAGTGCTGAACGGGGACAGCACGTGAGGGACACCGTGAGGGGGACAGGGACACCTGGCAGTCACCCTGTCCTTCCCTGGACCCAGATCTCACCTGGATAGCTGTATATGCCATGCCCAGGTAGGCACTGATGCACACAGCCAGCAGCAGGTCGAAGATGGCCGGCTTGACCCTGCAGGACGCACTGTGCGGTTGGGGACAGCAGGAGGCCCATCCCCATGGGCCATGGTCCACAGCTCCCATCAGACTTACCTGTACGCGTTCATCACCTGCTTCAGCTGGTCGTAGAAGACGAACTCAGGGTCCCTGGGGGAAGACACGCCTGGCTCAGCACTGGCCTCCTGTCTGGGGACACATCCACCACCCCAACATTGGGGAGGTGAGGGAGGAGGATGGCTGGTTTGAGGTCCAGCCCTGGATGCAGAGCAAGACCCTGAGTCAAAAACTAAACGTAAGCCCGTCTTTGATCCCACCAGTACTGGGAGGCACAGGCAGGTGGATGTCTCTGAGTTTGAGGCCAGCCTGGTCTACATATCGAGTTTCAGAACAGCTGGGGCTACAGGGAAGACAGTCTCAAAAAGACCAAAAAATAAAAAAAATAAAAAGAGGGTGACTGGAACATTCTGCGGCCTGGAGTTGAGGTCCACTCTGACACTCACCATCTGTGGGATCCACTCTGACCCTTGGTCTCATCCTCTGCCCGGGCTGTGCCTCCCTGGCCCAGACGACAGGGGCAGGGCTTTGCCGCTCACCGCTTATCGGCCTTCACGTGGTGCTGCCGCACGTCCTTGAGGTAGCGGCTCAGGAAGTGCTCCAGCGTGCTCAGAAACGTGCCGTCCTTGTCAAGCAGTTGGGCAGCCCGTGGCTGGTTGGTCAGCCAGTCCATCACCGAGTCCAGCTGTTCCTGTTGTACCTGCTGTGTGCCATTGCAGTGCGGTTATGATGGGGTCACCATGGGGTCAGAATGAGGTCCCCCTGCACAGCCCTGTACCCCACACCTTACCATCTGCTCCGTGAACACTGGCATGTCCGGCGGTGTCCCCTACAGGGAGAGGGACAGGGTGTGAGGTGCCTGGGTGAAGGGGGCCAGCACCCTGGGCATTGACAACTCACCTTCTCTGTGAGGTTGTAGATGACACGGGTCAGCGCCTCCGCGATGATGCGGGTGTTGCGTGTCAGCGTCTTAGAGTCCACTCGGGACCTGGGGGACATGGGGGTAGGGCACAAACTCAGCTCTGCAGGTGTTCCTGACCTGCGGGCCCTGAGGGACACCCGTCCACTCTCTGCTCCCACAAGCAAAGTTTTGGAGTGTGGCCTTCACACTGTGGAAAGCTCTAGAAGGTGTCCTTCACCCTGAAAAAATCTAGAAGGTGGCTCAGTTCCCTCAAGGAAGATTACTGTTAGTGGCTATGACCATCCCTAAAAGTTGGAGGAGGGTCACTCCTAGAAGTTATACCCTCAAGATCCCTGAACGTGCTTCCACAAAAGGTTCTAGAAGGAAACTTCATGAAAGGTTCTATTATAGAAGCTGCCCCCGCCCAAGATTCTGGAAGGGAACCTGAGAGAAAGTCCTAGAAAGTGCCCCATGGAATGTCCTAGAAGGGTTTCCTACGATGTAGGGTTGTATTATAGAAAAAGTTCTAGAAAGTGCCTGTGGTGGTTTGAATGAGTGTGTCCTCCACAGGCTCCAGTATTAGGTCGTTTTGACTGCAGTGGGTGGTGCCGTTCTGGGACCTGCAGCTGTGGCCTGGCAGGAGCGGCTGACAGTTCTTAGGCTGGCTCTGAGCACCCCCTCCCCTGTGCTAGTCCCACCTCTACCATGCCTCCCCAAAGTGATGGGCTAACTCCCCTAGACAGTAAGCTTGAGTAAACTCTCCTTCTAGAAGTCCCCCTGTCACGGTGGTTTTATAACAGCAACAGAGAAGTAAGCTGTTGCCTCTTAGAGTCCATGAAGAAGCCTGGACCCAAGAAGCTGCCCTTCAGGGCTGGTTCTAGAATGGCCGCTCCCCAGGAAAGAGAGAGGACGGAAGCGTGTCTCCCCCTCAAAGAGATGGCCAGTGGTTAGGAGAGGCCACCCCTGGTCCCAGAGGCTCTAGAAGGGGCACCACAGAAGTTCTAGAAGATGCCCCCTTATGCAAACACCCACAACTTGTCTCCATGGATGACAGTTCTACAAGGGACCCTCATGGAAGGTTCCAGAAGGAGCCTTCACAGAATGTTACATAGGATTCTCAAGGAAGGTTCTAAAAGGTTCACTCCATAGAAGGCTGTAAAAGGCAGGCCCAAGAAAAGTTCTAGAAGGAGCCCCCCAGAAGGTTCTAGAAGGAAACCTCATGTAAGATGCTAAAAGGCAGGCCCAAGGAAAGTTCTAGAAGGTATGTCCACAGGGTATATGGCACTGGAAAGCTGACTCAGCGTTAAGAGTACTGGCTGCTCTTGCAGAGGACCGGGGTTCGGTTCCCAGTACCCACATGGCGGCTAATAAGGGGCTGTAACTCCAGTTCCAGGGGATCGGACACACTCTTCTGGCATCCTCTGGCATTGCTTGGCACGGGTGCACTTACACACATGTAGGTAATGCAGATATATACATAAAATAAAAATAATAGTTTAAAAAAGGTTACGTAAGACATGCCCCACTTACGATTCTAAAAGGAAACCCTCAGAAGGTCCTGGAAGGTTTACGTCATGGAAGGTTTTGGAAGGAACTCTAGAAGGTTCACCCCATGGAAGGCTCTAGAAGGGCCTCCCACTCACCGCACGTCCATGATGCTGCTGCGCTGCCCGGCGCGGTGGCTGTCCAGGTGGGACAGCGTGAAGGCCGGCAGGCGGCGGATGGCGAAGCGCTCGTGCTCCCAGGCCAGCACGTCATCCGCCAGGTTGATCTTCTTGTGCACCATGGAGAAGCTGACCTCGGGGAACTGGTGCGCGGCCACCATCTCCAGCTCACGCAGGAAGGCGTGCTGCAGCGTGCCCTCGCGCGGCGGCTTCGACACGTGCAGCCGCAGGTGGCTGCCGCGGCCCACGGTGTCCAGACACAGCACGAAGGCCACGTTGTCCTGAAGCAGGCTGGAGTCTGTGGGGGGCGGGGCAAGGTCCAGACCCGCACGGAGGCCCCGCCCACAGGCCCCGCCCGCGGAGGCCCCGCCCACCTGTGTGGTCCAGGCTGTCCTCCAGCCAGCGCTTGGTGCCCTGGTAGTTAAATTTGCCGCCTCCAGATGCAAAAAACAGGAGGTTGTACCTGGGGGACACGAGTGTTGGCACCAACCGGACAGGCTGGGGCCACAGGTCCCGGCAGATCTCCCCAGACCCATGACCCAGTCAGGGGCCACCCCATCCTGGCTACTCTAGCACCCCGGGCACACTCTGGGGCGCCCCTGGCCTCCACCCGCTCCTCCCCCCCCAGCTGTGATGACCACCTGTAGACAGAGGACTGTGACACACGTGCTCCTCCGCTATCTGGGCCTCAAATCTTGGGACCACACTGTACCTCCATCTGCCCAGGAGTCACAGCCACTCAGGACAGTGGGGCAGAAGGGAGGCCCTCTTAAGCCCAAGTCACCCCAGCCCATATCTACCAGCCACCTCGTCACAAACCAGTCTATGTTGGCTCAGGCCACTGGTCCTGAACATAAAGAAGGGCTTAGCAGGGGTGGTTGACAAGCAGGCCACCTTGTACACTGCTTGTCACCCAGGGACATCCCTGTACCCTCTGTCATCTGAACTTAACATGTGATTGCTTAAGTCACATCTTAAGCAATCTTCATGGTCATGCAGCCATCTTGTGACCATGAGGAGACTGTTTCCTTTTAAACCAGGAGCCCACTGAGGTGACAACATCCCTGGCCAACCCCACGTGGTATCTGGGGACATGTGTGGCTGGCATGACTTGGGGTATGGGATGGGTGGAGGCTGAGAACTCAGCTCAGCACCCTGCAGGGCCCAGGGTACTCCTCAGAGAACCACCAGAAACAGCCAGGTCTGCACAGGACAAAAGGGACACAGCTGTGTGCACTTCTAGATGGTCCCCTTCCTGGGACCCATGGTGGGCAGCGGAGCAGCAAGTCCTGGGGCCACCGGCTCCAAGGTCAGGACCCCACGTGCCACCCTCCCATGAGGTGAGACTCACGCAGCATGGGTACGCTTGTATGTGTAGAGTCTGGAGAAGAGGCGGGCCAGCTCCAGGAGCACTGAGATGCCGCTGCCATTGGAGTCGGCGCCCACGGACAGCCACTGCGGGCAGAGGAGGCGGTCAGCCTGGCCCATTCCCCGCCCATACCATGCTGGGCCCACAGTGCTCATCTGGGTGCCAGGGAGGGTGACATTAAAACCCACTGAGGGAGCAGGTGTGGAGGTGCACGCCTTTAATCCCAGCACTTGGGAGGCAGAGGCAGGTGGATCTCTATGAGTTCGAGGCCAGGCTGGTCCACATAGTGAGTTCCAGGTCAGCTGGAGCTACAGGGAGATCCCTGTTTCAAAAAGATAAAACAAAACCAGAGGGGAGGCATGGTGGCACAGCCTTTAGTCCCAGCACTCAGGAGGCAGATGTAGGTGGATCTTGGTCAGATAAAAGTCCAACCTGAGCTACATAATGAGTTCTAGTTCAGCATGGTCTACACAGTGAGTTTGAGTCTAGCCTGGGCTACACTGCTAGTTCCAGGCCAGCCAGGTGATTGGGCTGAGCATCCACAGAGGCTCTGGGGACAGGGATGGACATGGCTGCAACTTGGGGCCCTTCTGGGATGGGTGTCTTGGGGACGGATCCCTGGCCACCATCCCCCACCTCACGCCAGTGTCACCCCTCCCCTGCCCGCTTACCGGGGCCACCCCGAAGGCATCATAGTGGGCCACAATGACAATTGTTGGGAGGTCCTCGCCGCCCAGCCCGGTTAGCCGGCCCTGTGGAGACAGCAGTGAGAGCTGGGTAGCAGAGATGGCCTGGCTGTGCTCCCCTGGGACCCCCAAATGGAGACTAGGGGCTCACGGATGTCCCCAGCCCAGGCCCACAGCCCTGTCATGTGAGTCTTGGATGGATGGCCAGGTCACTTTGCTGCAACAGCTTCCTGCAGCCCCTGCTGGGCCCGTTCACCGCCCCCAGCCTGGTCCCTCCCGTCATCCTCAGCCTGATATTCTATGGCGCGGTCACATTTGCCCAAAGCTTCCATGAGAAGCAGACCCCAGTACCTGCTCATCCTGACGGGCAAAATGGAATCAAGCTGTTTTTTCTGAGACAGGGTCTTATGTGGCCCAGGCTGGTGTTCTCTATGTAGCCGAGGATGACCCTGAACTCCTGATCCTCCTGCCTCAGCCTCCCCTGGGGGATGGGCTCCCTCTAGTGGCTGTGGGGACTGTGGCAAGCACTCACCTCTACGCTGGTGATGAGCCAGTCACTCAAGGCCTGACTCTGGGCTCCGCTGGTGACCATCTGGAACCCGTTGGCTGTGGCGGTGCGCAGCAGCACTGTGGGCAGGGCAGTCGGGTCACTCACGCCCATGGCCACCCCCTGCCACCCACCCAGGGACACTGCACTGTGGGCAAGGCAGTCGGGTCACTCACGCCCATGGCCACCCCCTGCCACCCACCCGGACACTGCACCGGAGTTCAGGGTGTATGGGTCCTGTAGCTGGGCTGCACACTACATAGATGCCAAACCCAGGAGTGGACCCCGGCTGTCAGGGACCCTGCGCCATGGGGGGAGGCGCCCACCCACGTCCCCCCTGTTCCCACCTTCGGCAGCTGAGGCAGAGCCCTGGGAGGCGGAGGCAGCCTGGGTCTGCTCATAAATGGACAGTAGAGCCTCGTCCTCCACCGCGAAGTACACGGGGACCACGGTCTCCATGGCCAGCATCTCAGGCTCAATCTCCATGAATTGCTGTGGGAGGGGCAGGTGGTCGTGGGAGGGGTAGGTGATCAGGGCAGAGGCAGTCAGGGGAGGGACAGGTGGTGGTGGGGGCCACATCGAGGAAATGGCTCAAAAAGGGCAAGCAACTGGCCAGGGTCACACAGCCAACTCACCCGGACCACGTCCTGTGGCACAGCAGCCATAGCCCTGGGCAGGATGATGACCACAGCGCCTGCGGACTGTCGCAATGCTTTCTGGTACTGCTCATAGGAGAAGTCCACCAGCCTCATGAGCACACAACGGCGGCTGAGCACATCTGCATCCATGGTCCGCGCCTCTGTGTTGAGCACTGCATTGCGGGTGCCTGGGGAAAGACATGGGGGTCACCATCTACTCCCTCTATCCCCCATCATCTCGGCCACTCTGGTCCCCTCAGACACAGTGGGTGCTGCATACAGCAGGTGCTTTGTAAATGCTTGACTCGAGGAAGGGTGACAGTGGGCAGGCCCTGGACACACATGGCCAGGGAGGGAGCTGTGAGTGACTGCAAGGATAGGGGTCACCAGGCCTGTTTTGCTCAGGTCTTCAGTGTCAGTGTGACTGTGTGTCAATAAAACTTTATTGACAGCCAGGACAAGCACATCTGGAGGTCTCCTGTGATTCAGGTATGCGGTCCACTGGGACCTGGGGCTCCCACAGAGCTTGCCCAAGGGGCTGGTGTGGGCTGTGGGTGTGTGAACTGGGCTTAGAACCTACAACTGCACTCTAGACCACAGACTGTTCTGGAAAAACCCTCGAGTTCAAGAGATTGGTAGCCACTAACATGGCTTTTTAAAAAATGCCATAACTTCTGGGTGCAAAAGGCCTGGGGTGCAACTGACCCCTGTGTTCAGAAAGGGGCCAGCCCAAGGGCCCCCACCATACACAAGGAGTCAGGGAGGTCTGGTCTGGATGTTCAGGGTCCATCTAGGCCCAGACAGTTAGACAAACCAAAGACAAGAAGGCTCTGGAATGCCAGGTACGGCCAGCAAGAGGTCTGGGAAAGGGGAAGGGGGTTGACAGAGAATCGGGGTGACAGTAAGGGGATCAGGAGACAGTGGGGGGATTCCAAGGGGATGCTAGTACAGGACTGCTATAACAGTGGGGGAACTAAGAGGGACAGTGGAGGGATTGGGGAGCTAGTAGAGGGATCGATTTGACAGTGTGTGGCGGGGCTATTGTGGCTGTGGTTGGTATGGGGTGACAGTCGGAGGATCCGGGTGGAAGCGAGGGCCTCCGTAAGATAGTCGGAGTATCGCGGAGACGGTAGGAACTGCTATGGCAGTGGGGGTTCGGGGCGACAGTTGTAGATAGCGATGCCGGTACGGGGACTGCTATGGAAATGGGAGGATCGGGCGACAGTTGGAGTTCGCTATGACTGTGGGGAGACTGGTATGGCAGTGGAGGGATCGCGGTGACAGCGGGGGTCCGGGGGGGAGACAGTTGGAGTTCGCTATGACTGTGGGGAGACTGGTATGGCAGTGGAGGGATCGCGGTGACAGCGGGGGTCCGGGGGGGATCGGGGCGGCAGTAGGGCAGGGGCGGGGGTCCGCACCGTACGGCTGGCCCTGCAGGTCGTATTGCTGCATGCGGTACACCGTGAACTCGTGCGCGGCGTCGGCTGCGGGCAGTGGCGGCGCCACAAGCAGCAGGACAGCGGGCAGGAAGACGATGAAGCCAAGCGGCAGGCACGACGCCTTCAGCACGTTCTCCAATACCTCGCCCGCTTCCTCCAGCATCGCGGCGGGCGGCGGGCCGCGCGGGCGACGGCGGACGGCGACGGGAAGCGGCCGCGACTCAGAGGACTCAGTTCGGCATGGGCTGCCGCCGGGGTCCTTCGGGTAACACAGTGGACAGCCAGCGCCGCCCCTGGGGCTTTCGGGCAGCGCCGAGGACGGCCCTCCGCGCCGCGCAACCTGCCGGGAAATGTAGTCAGCCCTGAGCTCTGCCTCCTTTAAGGCCCTCCCTTCACGCGCGAGGAACGCTGGGAATTGTAGGCCCACGGCGGCTCTCCCATTAGGAAGGTACGGCTACACTTCTAGGGAGCTGTAGACGTCACTACACGCGAAGATCTCTGGGAGTTGAAGTTCCACTCTCTGCCTCAGTGTCCGAACGAAACTATGGCGGACACTCTGTCGCTCCAAGTTGCAAAACACCAATAATTTCAAAGATTAACTTTTAAAACCTAGTTTTCAGTAAAACTCGCTTAAACCCTGTCTTTGGTATCGTTGTTGAGAAGAGTAAAAATCAAAGCGGCAGGACGTGACCTTGCGACCTGGAAGTACAGAAGGACAGAGCGAGGAAGCGTCCGTCTGACGCAGCCGTTCTTGTGGGAATTGTAGTCCTGTCTGGCACGCACAAAACATTAAGGGAACTACAGTTCTTCTGTAGTTAATGAAGGTGGGGAAAAGAGAATAAAATTCGGGAGGAGAGCAGTTGTGAAATTTAATTTTGGCTCATATTTTTGTCTTGAATGTGTCTGGATCCCCAATCTTGAATGAGTGAAAAAAATCGTACAAATAAATAAAATGCAAGACAGGCTGTAGCCAAAGGGATGTTGGACCCTGGAGCCTGGAGTTGGTGGGAATTTAGTGACAGTAAGGGGTTTGGGGTGGCAGTAGGGGACTACTGTGACAGTGGGGAGATTCTTATTACCCTTATTCATATTTGGGCATATTTAATCTCAATTTTTTTGTTTGCTGATTGCAAATTCAAATTTAATTTTGGAGTGTCCAGGTGTTGCTGTTGATTTGACTATCCTAACTGCAGTCTTTCTGGGGTCAGGGCTATTTAAGGAGTGATTTGAAGTTACATTTGTAACTCTCACCAGCATTTAAAGGCCCTGGCCTCCAGCCAGCCAGTGGCCTTCCCAGGGTCCAGTATAGCTGTGGAGGATTTGGGGGTCTCCTTTATGCCCCCTGTCTGAGAAGTTGTCATTTGTGATGACTAAAATGACATGTTCAAATCCCAGCTCCTCCTCTCGCCCACTGTGTGCCCTGGGACACATCACTTTGCATCTCTGAGCTGCCGTGCACCTTGCTGTCACATAGGACAATAAAAATTCGAGGATTAAATGATCAAACACAGGCACCCACCCACCACCAGGGACAGATAGGAATTCAATAAGATAACTGACTTGAGCTGACTTAGACTGAGGTATACAGTAGACTTCATAAGTGTTGGTTTTACAAGAATGCACCAAGGTTTTAAAACTCAGGACTGAAACATTTTCTGTTGACTTTGGAATTTACTGGAGGTGAGAAAAAGGTTTCTAAGACTCGGCTGCTATTCCATGACCCCCAGAGTGATTAGCCTGCAATGAGTAGGCACCACCTGTGTACCAGGCCCCTGCTAAGCACCAGGGCCACAACCCATCAGAGGTTATAATACACCAAGAAACTGAATTTATAGGTTTCATTCATTTTAATGAATTTTATGTAGCCACCCAAGACCCGTTTCTGTGATATGGGATGGGGGTGGGGTGGGAGTGGGATCCACGAGCCCCTGCCGACAAATGTTGTCAGGGTTCAAAATTGGAAGGACAAGGCAGCGGAGGCCACGGGGACCAGTGACGGTCGCACCAGACCCAGGATGGGTGGGTCGGACCACTTCCTCCTTACAGGCCCCAAGATCCAGACCCAAAAAGACACAGAGCTTGAACTGGCCGTGGGTCCGGGGTGTGGGGGAGAGGGGGGCCTGTGTGGATAGGGAATCAGTAAAGGAGAGGTGACAGGTGACATCTGCTCCTCCCCCACCCTGCCTGTCACTCTTACAACACACTGAGATCTCTGCCCGCAGAGAAATGAGGCAGACACCCCTCCGACACCCAGTACATCTCCAAGGCAGTGTACCCAGTTGGGCCAAGCAAGGAGTAGGGTGTCTTCCCGCGCTTCAGGCAGCTCCCAGCCCAGCACCACACAGGCATGAGAACAAGAGCAAAGCCACAATATCCTGTCCTGTCCCTGAACTGCAACGTGGCCAGGGCCTTGACCCCCACAGCCAGCCTGTTTACCAGAGAGGGGCTAGGGCCTCACAGACCCACCAGACCAAATTTGAGGTGCTCAGTGTGGGGGAGGCTCCACCAGAGGACCCCAGAGCCAACTGGGATATTCGCCACCACCACCACCAGGCAAGGAGTTTGCATCCACATCGCTATCTCCCTCTCTCAGGAGGATTTGCTCAGTGCACACACTGGGCAGTCAGATGGTCCATCCCCATAGCAACCGCTAGACACTCCGGACGCTGGAGATACTGGACAACGGTTCTCGCATCTTGAAGCTGAGAGACCGGGATACCCGAAAACTGTCTCTAGGCCTGAGTGAGCTGTCGGTGGACGCAGTGGAGCCGACCTCAGTGATGTGGGTTAGGCAGTCCCCGGGACCTCGAAGGCCTAACCTGAGGCAGACAGAACACAGGAAAGCCAGCACGGCATGCCGCACCTCCCGGCTTCGGAAAGAATAAATGAGGGGATTGATGGCCGAGTTGAGTACAGCCAGGGCCAGGATCCAGTCCATCCCTCGAAGGTATTCCTGGGCCCAGACATTTGAACCGAAGACATCGGCCAGCAGGAGGCCAAACAGGGGTCCCCAGCACACCACAAAGGCCACAAGGATCATGAGCACTGTGTTGAGGAGTCTGCGGGCCTTGCGTCGGGCTGGTGGCCTTGGTGACTTCTGCCCGTTGGCCCTGACCACTCGGAAGATGGCTCCGTAGAGGCCCAGGATGGCCACCAGGATGAGGGCGAAGACCACCACGCAGAAGAGGACGTAGCCTTTGGAGTAGAGGGGCAGCAGGCTGGAGCACTGCGGGAACACGCACACGCAGTTCCAGCCCAGCAGCGGGAGCAGCCCCAGGGTGGCGGCTAGCAGCCAGCACAGCCCGATGAAGCCGTGGACGCGGCTGGTCTTGGTGGCCCCGCGCTCGGCAACCCGCACCATGGTGACGAAGCGTTCGCCGGCCGTGAAGAGCTGGCTGAAGGTGGACGCGGCTAGCGCCGCAAAGAGCAGGCCCTCCCGCAGGAACCAGTGTGCGGGGGACAGTCGGAAGGTGCGAGGCCCAGACAGCAGGACGTTGGCCAGGTAAGCCAGGCCGGTGAGCAGGTCACTCAGAGTGATGTTCACCAGGCAGTAATACACCCAGCGCCGCGATCGCATGTGGGTCACGATGGCAGCCAGGACCAGAATGTTCTCCAAGGCCACCAGGCAGCTGGCCGCCACCGACAGGCCTCGCAAGGTCCCCAGTCCGACGCCACCATCCTCTGGGTTCCCACGGCCCACCAGACGGCCACTGTGGTTATAGTGGAGGATGATGAGCAGGCTGTGTCCACTGGCCGCCAGCTGCTGACAGGACTCCGGGGTGGCCAGTGGGAACCCTGAGCCGTTCATGGTGCTCCCCCTGGGGACAGACTGAGCGGCTCCTCCACCGCAGGGTGGAGTCACAGCCCTGCCTGGCCTGGGTTTCCTGTTTGAAATTTCCTGTTATGCACAGGGTACCCCCAAGGGTGGGTGGGGGTGAGGCCAGGGCGGGACGGCAACGGCCACCCTGGCTCTGGGTGGACTGGAGGGGGTGGTGCTGGGGACACTACCCTCCTGGCACCCCCTCCACCCCTGCCCAGGTTGTCAGTGTTGTCCTCAAAAGTAAAAGGTCTACAGGTCCCTCCATCAGACACCCGCCCATTCCTCCCGAAAAGCCACCCTACCCACCACCTTGTGCCTGTACACAACAGGTGTTTAATATAGTGTTTGCCACCAGTACATAGCAGGTGCTTCATAAATGTCACCTGTATACGGCCAGTACTTAATAAATGCCACCCATACCTAATGAGTGCCACCCATACATGACAAGGTACTTAATGATCTTTTTAAATTTATCATGCCAATGAGGTCTGTGGGGGGTGGGGGGTCTGAATTTGATTAAGAACTGTATGAAATGTACAAAAGCTCAATAAAAAATATTTTTTAAAAAGATTAAAAAGGGGGCTGCAGAGGTGGCTCAGCGGTTACGAACACTGGCTGTTCTTGCAGAAGACTAGGGTTGGAATCCCAGCACCCACATGGCAGCTAACAACTGTCCATAACTCCAGTCTGGGAATCCGACAGCCGCTTCTGACCTCTGCGGGCATTGCACAACACGGGTGCACTTACCTACATGCAGGCATACACATAAAATGAAAATAATAAATAAAATTTTTTTTAAGTTTTGTTAAAAAAAAAATATTAAAAAATTATTATGCCAGGCGTGGTGGTGCACGCCTTTAATCCCAGCACTCAGGAGGCAGAAGCAGGTGGAGCTCTGTGAGTTTGAGGCCAGCCTGGTCTACATAGTGAGTTCTAGGTCAGCCTGAACTACCTAGTGAGACTGTGTCTCAAAAAAAAGAATTATTGGGGCTGGAGAGATGGCTCAGCGGTTAAGAGCACTGACTGCTCTTGCAGAAGACTAGGGTTCGAATCCCAGCACCCACATGTCAGCTATGAACCATCCTTAACTCCAGTTCCAGGGAATCTGATGGCCTCTTCTGAGCTCTGAGGCATTGCATGACATGGGTGCACTCACATACATGCAGGCAATACACTCATACACATAAAATAAAAATAATAAAATACTTAAAAAAGAATTATTACACTTATTTATTTATTTTTATTTATTGTATGTGTGCAAGTGTGGCACAGCACACATGTGGGGTAAGAGGACATGTGGGGCTCAGTTCTCCCCTCCCAGGCCTCCTGGGTCCTGGATTGAGCTCTGGTTGCCAGTCTTGGTGGCAAACACCTTTGTCCACAGAGTCATCCCACTACCACCAAGTGTTTATTAACCTCACACACCAGGTACTTAATAAATGTCACCAGTGCACACTCATACATAATAGGCGCTTAATAAGGGTGTGCCACGTGTACTCAGTAGATGGTTAATAAATGTCACCCAATGCAAGTGCCATCCAAACACATCAAGTGCCACTTGTACACAGCAGGTACTTAATGTGTGTTGCCTGTTCATACGGGGTGCTTAATAAATGTTTGCCACCCATACACAGCTGATGTTTAATTTTTGCCACCCAAACACAGCAGGTGCCACCTGTCACCACACACACTCAGGGTGACCCACTGTGAGCCATGGTTGTGGTCTGACAGTACCCTCAGCCTTGAACCCCTATCTCAGGTTGAGCCCCAATCCTACCTGAGGATAGATGGTGTGCTGATCCCTCATCTTGGTGAGCCCTGAGCCAAAGCTGACACCCCCTACCCAATACCCACTTTGTACTGATTCCTGAAACTGAAATGAGCCTCCATCCTGTACTGAGTCCTGATCCCAGGCTGAACCCAGAGCTTGGCTGATCCTGTGGCCACAGCACTGACCACTCACCCTGGTAGAGACCTGACCCTGAGCTGATCCCAGATCCCAAGCTGAACCCCAATGCCAGATGAGCCCGTGACCCCAGCTCACACAGCAAACTCAAAGCAAAGCTGGGTTCTATCTACAGAGCTTATTTTGAGTCTGCCACTGGTATACAGCTGGTGCTTAATAAATGTCTGCCCCACTCTATATAGGCACTTAAAAAATGTTTAAGACCTTAGCTGGGCATGGTGGCACATACCTTTAATCCCAGTAGTCTGGAGACAGAGGCAGGCAGATCTCTGTAAGTTCAAGCTCACCCTGGTCTACATAGGGAGTTCCAAGCCAACTGGGGCTACAGACAGACCCTGTCTCAAAAAGACAAAAAAAAATGTTGAAGACCATCTACATGCTCCAGTTGAAGACGCTACCTGTGCTGGGTAAGTGCGGTCACCACCTCTGAGGACAGCACACACATGCTCCTGGGCAGAGAAGAATTCTCAGCTAAAGCTATAGTGTGTCCCAGACTGGGGTGGCAGGCTTGCACTGCACCTGGCTTTCACGTGGATTCTGGGGATTTGAACTCAGGTCCTCAACTTTGCACCGCAAAGACCTTTGTTTGCTGAGTCCTCTCGCCAGCCCCAGTTTCCTCTTTTTTTTTTTTTGTTTTGTTTTTGTTCTTTTTTTTTTTTTGGTCTTTTTGAGACAGGGTCTCCCTGTAGCCCCAGCTGGTCTGAATCTCACTATGTAGACCAGGCTGGCCTCGATCTCACAGACATTCACCTGCCTCTGCCACCCGCATACTGAGACTAAAGGCACACCACCACACTGGGCAAGTTTCCTCTTTTTAAGGTAGCCTGAGCCACAGGAGCCACACCATGTACTGGGCAAAGCTCTGCCCTGTCCCATGCTGGAATTTGGGGACACAGGGTTCCTCCAGGCCTAGAGACCTCAAAATCTACTTCTGGCTTAATCCTGCTGCAGTTCTAGGTACTGACAAGCAGAACTTCCGTTCCTTCCTCCCTGAGACCCCCACCTTCGGTGTAGGCAAAGGTGAGGCCCCCACGGGGGTCCTTCACTAGCCCCTGGGAAACTACAGAGCTGCAAAATGCCCTATTTTAATAATCTAAGAACACAACAGAATAAATACAGAGGAGGAGGCCCAGGCCGGACGGGGCACGGGAAGCAGGGAGACCTCGGTTTTCCTTCCCTGCAAACTTGGGGCCGGACATGGGGAACCCCGAACATGTGCAAAGGCCAGAATTTTCTGAATACTTGCGCCCAGGTCAGGGTCCTGCCTGCAGCAGCTCAGGATCAAGGCCCTCTTGGCCCTAGCCTGCAGTTCTCAGTGTGTCCACGAGGGGGCAGCAGAGTCCACGTCTGAAGCCGCCAGGGTCTACCTCCACCCTAGGGGGACGTACCCGGAGGTGGGGACCCCAAGAGACCCCCCACCACCCATGCAAACCCCAAGATTGTAATTTCCTCTCCACTTTGGCACCGCAAATGACCATTTCACCAACTCTCTTGCAAAAGGGTAAACTGAGTCAGGGTCCTGGAGTGAAGGGACCTCGGGGGTCCACCGGGCCATGGGGGCTGTCACAAGAGGTTGATCTCGTCCAAGTAGCGGGCGAGCACCGAGTCCCGCACGTCCCTGAAGACTTTCCGGATGTTCTGCGTGTCGGTGGCACAGGTGTAGTGACTGAAGAGGCGGCGGGAGCGGGAGCCCTTGCGGCCACCCTCGGGGTTCTCCATGCACCCCGAGTACATGCCCCCATACATGTCCAGGATGAATCTCTTAGCCGCCTCCGCGTCCTGCTTGGGACCTGAAGGGATAGGACATGGGAGTGCGATCAACTTTTCTTTCTTTCTTTCTTTCTTTCTTTCTTTCTTTCTTTCTTTCTTTCTTTCTTTTTCTTTCTTTCTTTCTTTCTTATTTAGAGATCGGGTCTCATGTAGCCCAGGCTGGCCCCAAACTCACTAAGTAGCAGAGGATGACCCTGAACTCCTGATCCTCTTGCCTCACCCTCTGAGAGCTGGAGTGACAAGTGTGTGTCATCAGGACTAGTTTATGGGGTGTTGGGATGAGTCTAGGGATTCCTGAGCACTAGGTATCCAATTTTAGTTTTCTTTGCTGAATCAGACTCCCATGATGCCCAGGCTTGCCTACAGCTCACTATGTAGTCCAGGCTGACCTTGAACTCCTGATCCTCAATCTCCCAAATGATGAATGACAGGCTGTCATACCTGGTTCTGTAGGGCTTATGGAACCTTGAGGGACCCTTAGCCACATAATTAGGACTAGAAAGAGCCCCAGAATCATTCCTGCCATCTTTACTGTGGACAGATGGCATCTTTACTGTGAGGTGGATGAAATTTTACTGTGAGGGGACGCCATGTTTGGTGTGGGCAGATGCCATCTTGACTGTTACTGGGTGCCATCTTTGTCATCCCAGCCAATGACTCTGGTCAGACAGTCTAGGTTCAAATCCTGCTTCCAGGGACTAAGGGGATGACTCCATGGGTAAGGGAGCTGACTGTCCAAGTAGGGGGACATGAGTTCAAATCCCCAGAACCCACATAAAAAAGCTAGGTGTAAGGTCAGGGCTAGCAGAGGTGGAGGTAGGAGGATGGCTGGGACTCAATGGCCAACAGCCCAGCTCCAGGGTCAGTGAGAGACCCTCTCTCAAGGGAGTAAAGAGGAAGAGAAATAGCACAGGACCCCAGACAGCCTCTGCTTTGTGTGCACCTGCACACACTCCAATTCCTTATTATTTATTTATTTATTTATTTATTTATTTATTTTCTGTGTATGAGTGTATTGCCTGCATGTATATAATTGCACCCTGTGGAGGCCAGAACAGGGCACCCCCTGGAACTGGAGCTACAGATGGTTGTTAGCTACCATGTGGGTGCTGGGAACTGCACCCAGGTCCTGTGCAAGAGCAGCCAGTGCTCTTAACCACTGAGCCAGTTCTCTACACCCTGAGTTCCGTGGTTTTATCCTGGTCATTTGTCATAAAAGATTCAGAAAATAAAGTTGGAGGTTTTAAAGATGGCCACCGAAACAACCACTGTGCTAATAATTCCTTTCAGTCAGGATGGCTGTGATCACTTCCTTCTCCTGTATGTGTCCATCCCCACATCATGAGGCAGAGCAGGTTTCCTCTCCTTTTGAGTCTGGGCTGCCAGAGGGACTTTCTTGGTTAATAGAATGTGATGGAGTTACACTGAGGACACTTGGTCAGGACAGGTGACCTCCACCTGTGTTTAAGTCTGGACACCCTGAGTCACCCATTGTGAGGAAGCCCAAGAACAGGGCATGATGGGCATGGATAGAGGGGTCCAAATGGGGGAGTGACAGCCTAGACTCCCCAGTGAGGGGCTGGGGGCGTGGCTCAGGGTAGAGTGACAGCCCAGAATCCCCAGTGAGGGGCTGGGGGCGTGGCTCAGGGTAGAGTGACAGCCTAGAATCTCCTCAGTGAGGGACAGGAGTGTGGCTCAAGAGTAGAGAGCTCTTGCTCATGAAAACGGGCTTCAGGAAATGACAGTTGGACTTTGCTGTTGGTGCTAACAAGGGAAGACTCAAGTCACGGTGGGATGAACGGCCAGGCTGGAGGTGGTGTCCATTGATTAGGCTTATGGCCTCCTGGTTCCTTGGTGGACAGTGTCTACATTTGCACAGTCCTACTGAGTGTTTGAATGGATCGTTACTGTGCTGGATAGCTTTGGTTGCCAACTTGACCCACCTCGGTAAAGGGAGCCTCAAGTGGGGAATTCCCTCCAGGGGACTGGCCTGTGGTCATGTCTGTGCAGTATTTTCTTGGTGATTGAGGGAGGTGGGAGGTGGGAGGTGGGAGGGCCCAGCCCACTGTGGGCGGTGCCACCCCGGGGCAGGTGGTCCCATATTGTATAAGAAAGCATGTTGAGCACAGGCCAGGGGAGCAGCCAGTAAGCAGCGCTCCTCCACGGCTGTGCCAGCTCCTGCCTCCAGGTTCCTGCCTTGAGCTCCTGTGTTGGGCTCCCTGATGCTGGGAGATGAAAGCCACATAAACCCTTTCCTCCCCAAGTTGGTATTGGTCACAGTGTTTTGTCACAGCAATGGAGAAACAAACTAGAACAGTGAAGTAGGGTCTGGAACTGGAGACACTTTCTTTTTAAAATCTGTGGTGACTCCAGTTTAGGAATTAGTCTTGGTTAAATTTCTTTCTGGAGAGGTGAAGAGTCTAGAATGTACTACAATGACTCACCCTGGAAGCTAGGGAAGTAGGTGGCCAGGTGGGAGGTGGGGATCTTCTCCTCTAGGATGTCCGTCTTGTTGAGGAAGAGGATGACAGAGGTGCTCTTGAACCAGGGCAGCTCCAGGATCGTGCCGAACAATGCCAGGCTCTCTTTCATTCGGTTCTGCAGGACAGAAAAGATGGTGGCCGGAGTGGGTCATCTTGTCCCAGGCTGGATGTCCTCAGCCACCCACGGGTGAAGACTTGTCTGTCTGATTGAATTTCAAAACATCAGCCAGTCATGGAGGCTCACACCTTTAATCCCAGCACTTGGGAGGCAGAAGCAGGAGGATCTCTGTGAGTTCAAGGCCAATCTGGTCTACATAGTGAGTTCCAGGCAGCTGGGGTTACAGGGAACCCTGTCTCAAAAATACCAAAAAAAAGCAAAAACAAAAACAACCGCCCCCGAAAATATCGCATCTGAGGTTCCCCTGGGGCTCCAGAGTCCATATAAAACCTGAGTCTTGTGGGGGAGTCCTGCACCCAACCATCTCACCCCAGTGTTGAAGAAGACATTAATTATGTGAACATTTACCAGAGATGTGAACTGAATGGAATTGAGTGCATGTGATTACACACACCTTTAATCCCAGCACTAGACTAGGAATTTATTGACAACTGGGGTGGGGGGTTGGACCACCCTTGGATCTTCATAACAGAAATTAAACCCATCCTTGATGGAGATGGTGGTGTGGTTGGGCTGCCAAAGGGAGCTCCAGCATCAGTCTCATGCCCCCGCCCCGCCATGATTCTACAGATCCGATGTCAACTGCTCCACGGTGTGGGTGATGGTCAGGCCAGCAGGGGATGGGAGTTCTCAGGTCTGCATGGCTTCAGGGACAGGGTCACACAAAGCTCATGTGTTTGAGCCATCTTGGGGTACAGGGGGTAACCACAAAAAGATGGAAGTTTAAAAAGACGAATGTCACAGTAAGATGAGGCAGAATGACCCCTGGTCAGATGAGCATCCTCGTCGGACCACAAAGAGGACAGCATGGTGCCCTTGGCTGCGGGGCACCTTACCTCCTGGTTGTTCTCTTCCAAGCACTGGTCATATTCGCTTAGTGAAGCCAGGTAGATGAGGGCTATGACATTCTCAAAACAGTGGATCCATTTCTTCCGCTCTGACTTCTGTCCACCAACATCCACAATGCTAAGAATCGAGAAACCCCATTTGAGATGTCATGAATGTCAGGACCCTGTCACACCAGAGATGTGTCAAGATCAGAAATAAAAGCTGCAAATCTGGGGCTGGAGAGCTGGCTCAGCAACTAAGAGCACTGGCTGCTCTTGCAGAGGATCCAGGTTTGGTTCCCAGCACCCACATGGCAGCTACAACCATCCGTAACTCTAGTTCCAGGGGATCCGATGCCATCTTCTGGCCTCTGCAGGCATTGCATGCATGTAGTGCACAAAGCAGCACACATACAAACATGAATAAACACATAAATAAACACATAAATAAATAAATGAATAAATAAATAAATAAATAAGTAAAATCACGTGTGCTTAACAGACAAGGAGACTGAGGTGTGGGACAAGGGGTATCTCCATCTATCCATGACACCAGATCTCCTGCCTTCCCTCCCTTTACACAGAGCCCTATGGTCTGAGGGATGGTATGTGGTGAAGGTGTCACACCTCCTCAGACTCAGTTTCCCCAGCACTAGAACAGGCCACTGTGTTGTGTACGGCTATGACAGTGTCTAGTGTCTGTTCTGAGAATAAACGTGGTCTTTGTCCTATGAGGCCCAAAGAAAGCCTTCAACCCACACACTGCAACAAAACGTGGGGCGTCTCCACTTCCTGCGAGTTCTTGAAAGCGGATCACTACCGACAGATACCTCAGGGTGTCTGTGTGAACTACAACTGTGACTAGGTACAGGTGGAGCACAGGGTTCAGATGAGACTGGGACAGAACCTCAGAAAGACAAGAGACTGCACTGTGGACAAGAGGAGAAACTGAGGCAGTGTTTAGGATTGGAATTCAGTGGGTAAATGCATCTACAGATCTGAGACAGAACATCTGTGGAACACTCTCAGATCCTACACAGAATGGGACTATACAGACACATTGTCAGACATACTACCCAGGTAAGCCTAGTTTCTTGGTGGGTACACATCCACCCATCCACCATCCATCCTTCACCCACCCATCATCCACCCACCCATTCATCCATCCATCCACCCACCCATCCATCCATCCACCCCTTCACCCACCTATCATCCATCCACCCACCTGTCGTCCATCCATCCATCCACCCACCCGTCTGTCCTTCCATCCATCCATCCATCCATTCATCTACCTGTCTGTCCTTCCATTGGTCTGCCTGTCTGTCCATCAATCCACCCTCATTCGCTACAGTTCTGTCTGTCCTGCCTTGGGCTCACCATGCACTTTTGCTACTCAGAACCCACACTGGGTACCACCCTGGTCAGGTTGCTGCCAAGCCTTTTCCTACACACTGGGAAGATTCCCCCATAGATGTGCTGAGTGCAGCCTTGCCCCCAGCTTCTGCGCAGGCCAACCCTCAGCAGCCAGCTGCACGCATTCCCTGCACTCTCTCCACAGCCCTTTGACATTTGCCACTGGCCTCCACTTTGGGGAGATCCCAGACTTCCCAGAAACCCCCATTTCTGTTCAAAGGGTTTATACCAACCCTTCTTTTTCAAAATTTTTATTTTTTCAACATATATGACTGTTTTGCCTACATGTATGTAAGTGCACCACATATGTGCCAGTATCTGCAGAGGCCAGAAGAGGGCTTCGGATCCCCTGGAACTGGAGTTTAGGTCGGTTGTTAGCCGCCACGTGGGTGCTGGGAACGGAATCCAGGTCCTCTGCAAGAGCAGCCAGTGTTCTTAACCTCTGAGCCAGCTCTCCTGCCTCATTCTGGCCTCTCCCTCGATCTGTCTTCCCCTGCCCTACGAGACCATGCAATCTGTTTTCTCTTCTGCAGCACTCCTTGACGGATGACACCAGGGAACTCTTATACATCCCTCCGGCCAAGCTCCTCTGCCCCGGGACAGTTTTCCCCAGGTCAGGCCAGTGCTGGGTGCTCACCGCAGGTTGGTTTTCTGCACCGAGAAGCAATATTCGTTGATGCCGGTGGTCGGCATGCGGCTTCGCAGCACGTCCTGCGCAGTGGGGATGTAGCCATCCTCTGTGATGCGCTCCAGGTGAGACAGGTAACTATGGAAACAGTGAGTGAGGCCTCGCAAAGGCGCTGCAAGCAGCGAGGACCCTGCTGGGCCAAGCCGTGCAGGCTGTTACTCAGGCCCAACCTGGCCCGGCCCTTGGCCCCGCCCACCGATGGCCCCGCCCTCCATGCGCAGACCCTTGGACTCACTACACAGCAGAATCCAGTAGGTGGAATTCCCGCCGGCGCTCATAGCAGGCCCGGATGCCTGCGTCCCTCCACAGGTACTGTATGGCTACTGCCTGGGGCTTCCCAAATGACGTCACTTTATAGGGGTCCTGGCTCATGACCAGGCTGGCGTGATGCTGGGGGTGATGGGTGGGGAGGGTCAGACAGCTTGTGAGAGCTACGAGGTCCCATCCCCAAAACATATGCTTTCCTTTGTATTTATTTATTTTTAATTTTAATTTTGTCTTTGCCCCTCAGACCCTGGAGACTTAGGTGACCTTGCGCACACAGGTGCACTTACATACAAGCAGCCAGAATAGGCATACACGTAAATAAATAAGTAAATAAATAAATAAATAAATAAATAAAACAGAGAGGGAACCATCTGAGACAACTTCCTTGTTGGGAAATCCGGGTGTGGTAGATAGAGGATCAGAGACTTCTGAAAGATAACAGCCATCCCATAATCCTTCACACACGCCACAAGCCATGCTTAATAAACTCACTTCATCTAGCCACATGAAACTCAAACGATTCATTCTGTGGATATCCCAGATTGGCATGGATAGGTATACACCCCTGAAAAAGGCACACAGTATTGTGTCTGGGGCCTCAGACCTCCATGAGGCCCTTGGGATGCATCTCAGGGCCTCATCCAGACTCACCATGCTCTCAGGCCTGCTGAAGGGGATCTGTAGCCGATCCATGGCTTCGATCATGGACTGCATACACACAAATACGTTCTGGTAGATGAGTGGCCGGAAGCCCTTACGGTCCTCCTCTGAGTATCCAGTGCCATGGATGATGCGCATCTGTTTGATGAAGGTGCTTTTTCCGCTCTCTCCTGGCCCTGGGGACAAAACGTGACCCATTTGTCAACCACTTAGTACCTGATGTGATGCTGATGCTCTTAAGCTTCCTGTTACTGTGACAAAATACCTGACACAAACAACTTAAAGAAGATGAGGGTTAAGCTGGGCATGGTAGCGTATGCCTTTAATCCCAGCACTTGGGAGGCAGAGGCAGGTGGATCTCTGTGAGTTCAAGGCCAGCCTGGTCTACATAGTGAGTTCCAGGACAGCTGGGGCTACAGGGAGACCCTGTCTCAAAAAAATAAAATAAAAAAATAAAAAGAATATGAGGGTTTAGTTTGGCTCTCAGTTCCAGTTCAAGGGGGCAGTACAGCATAGCGGCAGGAGAGTGAGGTGGCTGGTCACTGTCACATTGCATCCACAGTCAGCAAATGGAGAGAGATGCATGCTGGTGCTCAGGCCACTTTCTCTCTTTTTAAAAATATTTTATTTTTATTATTTTTTATTCTATTTTATTGTGTGAGCATATAGCCCACCTGCATTAAGTGCACCCATTTCATGTAATGCCTAAGGAAGTCAGAAGAGGGCATCAGATCCCCTGGAAATGGAGTTACAGTTGTTAGCTGCCATGTGGGTGCTGGTGACCGAACCCTGGTCCTCTTCAAGAGCACAGTGTCTTAACCACTGAGTCAGCTCTGCAGACCCTCACTTTCTCCTTTTTTTCAATTTTCAACCCCAACCCACAGGTTGATGCTGTCCACACACAGTGTGTGCCCTGTAGCTGCTGACAGGAAGACAGGGGAGTCCAGGGCAAGGACAGAGGGGGGACCAGACGGAGAGCACTTTGTTAGTCCAGGAGGGGGTACTCCCATGGATCAGGAAGAAAGGGCAAATTGGAAACATATAAGGGTGATAATACGGGCAGGATAAAGGAGCAGAGCTGCAGAATCTACAAGGTGGGTTCCACATGAAACCACGAGACATTATCTGTAATAAAGAGGCTACAATTTTCTGCTTGGGGGTCCAGACATGGGGCACAGCTTGGTTTCCTGCTCTCTTAGATCTGGGACCCTGATGACCCTCCGCCTGCAGCTGGGGCTGTTTTCTCTGTGAACTGGACCACAGTCAACACATCTGCAGGGAGACAGGTACCAAGAGCTGGCATAAGCTTCGAATCCTACCCAGATCCTGGGGATGCTGGCATGTGGTCTCTGCAGGGAACAGAAATGGGAAGTGAATGCTTGAGACTCCCCAAAAAGGAGGGTGGGGACTGACATGGGAGGAAGTAGATCAGGCTAGAAAAACGGAAGGGGACCAGAAAAGAAAGAGGAAATGGGGGGATCAGGACAGTGAGAGAGCACTGGCTTAGCATGAAGGAAAGCCTGGGTTCATCCAGGCAACACATACACCAGATGAGGTGGTGCACACCTGGTATTCAGCACTTGGGAGGTGCAGGTAGGAGGATCAGGAGTTCAGGGTGACCCTTGACTACATCGGGAACTGGGGGCCAGCCAGGGCTCCATAAGATCCTGTCTCAAAATAGAAAAAGGAAATGGGATGGGCCTGCGGAGACCTGGTGGCTGGTGCGGGAGGCTCAGAGGAAGGGGGACAGCCAGCACTGTCCCTGCCTGCAGCTCTGTCACCAGACACCACCTTGTATATAGCTCCCTGCACATCCCAGGGCCACATGGATTGGTCCAGCATGGGCACTGCCCTTCCCCCAGCCTCAGTCTGTTGGACAGAAGATTCAAGAAAAAGCCTTCTGAAACAAAGACATTCTTGGGAACCTATGGAGAACCAACAAAGAGGGACTGGGATCTGGGGTTAGAGGAGGAAGCTGTGTGTGCCAGCCTGGACCAGCGGCCTGATTTTTACCCAGCTGTTCACAAAGGAACCAGATCTTCCTATATGCTGGAGGGGCTCTACCCCTGAGCCACGCCCCCAGCCCCTCACTGGGGATTATAGGCTGTCACTCTACCCCTAGCCACGCCCCCATCCCCTCACTGGGGAATTCTAGGCTGTCACTCTACCCCTGAGCCACGCCCCCAGCCTTTTACTTAATAGAATCTCACTAAGTTTCCCAGATTGGCCAGGAGCTCACAGTTCCCTTTCCTGAGCCTCCCAAGGACCTGGGATCACTCCACTCGATGAGCCCAGGGTTCAGCTCACTGCTGTGCTGTATCTTAAAGTTCCTCTTTTTTATTTTGGTCTTTTTGAGACAGGGTCTCCCTGTAGCCCCAGCTGGCTTAGAACTCACTATGTAGACCAGGCTGGCCTCAAACTCACAGAGATTCACCTGCCTCTGCCTCCCAAGTGCTGGGATTATAGGCGTGCACCACCACACCATCTTATAGTGCCTAAATAATAGATGATGATGATATAACAGGCATGCCTTGTAATCATCTCCAGATCTAGGCTGCAGACTGGTATCTTTGGCCAGTGATTACAGGTTCCCAGGATTTATTCAGTTCACATGGGAGACACAAGGTATCAGAGAGCTTGCAGTACTCAACTAGGGTCATACAGCAAGCTGAAGACCAGGGTGTCAATCCAGGGCCCCGTGCTGGATTCATCGCAAAAGACAAGTTGGCTCAGCCTGCACGGGAGGCTTAACATGGCGGTGAGTGTGAGGTTTCCCTAGAGGCTGTGGCAGGGGACAGGGCCTTTGACCTCCTTGGTTCCCCAAACTCTGAATTCTCACTTTCTTAGTATCCCCAAAGGGCAGAGATCAAGTGTGGTTTCTGCTCAGACATCGTTAACATTGATCTAATTCTTTTTATTTCTCTCTTTCTCTCTTTTATTTTTTGCTAAAGACAAAACATGCATAGCAAGTTCCAGGCCAGACCCTGTCCCAAAACAAACAAACAAAAACAATAAAAAACAGAAAAAAAAATGGGGCTGGAAGCCGGGCGTGGTGGTGCACACCTGTACTCCCAGCACTTGGGAGGCAGAGGCAGGCGGATCTCTGTGAGTTCGAAGCCACCCTGGTCTACAAAGTTGAGTTCCAGGCCAGCTGAGGCTACAGGGAGACCCTGTCTCAAAAAACAAGGTGGGATGCCACTGAGGAAGACACCCAATGTCGGCCTCTTGCCTCCACACACAAAATAGGAACAACAACTATGGTCTCCCTGCACCCAGGACCCAGCCTTGAAGCTTCAAGGGGCACTGAGGCACACACTGCTCTGGGGCACAATGAGGGGGCAACCTGCCCTAGAAACTTCCAGGTCTGAGGCTGGAGTGACAGCTTTCAACCTGGCCTGGCTGTGCTGCCACATAGGAAGTGGCTGCTTTCTGGAGCAGGCAGGAGGAAGTGGCACCAGACTGGTGTCAACAAGGAACGGAGGTACATGTGCCAATCATGGGGTGTCATGAGGATCCAGTGCCTTGTCTGTGCCCCCCTCCCCAGAAATGGGGTACCCGGGGACTTCACAGCTGGGGGAGGCAGGCCCTGGCACCTCCCTGTGCCTCAGCTTCCCTAGGTATCCTTGGTATGCTGTGTTTTCTTCAGTCCTAAGGCAGAAGCACATGGTGGTGACTGACACAAAATTTTGAACTGAAAATGAAGGCTGTGTGACCTCAGGCAACTTGCTTGACCTCTCTGGGTTAGCACAGCACTGACTTCCTTTCCTGACTCAATCTGACTTCATTCTCAGTAACATGGTGACGGCTGCACACTCTGGACAAACATCCCCTGACATCCCACTCACATTCACCCCAACCAACTTCCTCAAAAGACCTGCCCACTCTGGGAAAAAAATAATCAACATTTTGAATTCAATTCCCTTTTTCAAAAAGGGACAGAGAGGTAGTCACCAGATGAGATGGCAGAGGTCTGTGGCAAAACTCATTGTGACAACCAGTGGTCTCTGGAGACAGACAACCTCTGCCATTCGCACATCATAGGAAAAATGGGTATGGGTTTTGGGACCAGTTGAGCAATGTCTATATGTAGGGTTAAGAAAAAATATGCCTTGAAAATTGAAACACCTAACTGCCTATCTTGCATCCATCCATCCACTCATCTGTCCATTTATCCATCCATCCTCTCTCCCATCCATCCATCCATCCACCAATCATCCACCCATCCATCCATCCATCCATCAACCCATTCACCCATCCATCCACCCATCCACCCCATCCATCCATCCACTCACCTATGCATTCATCCACTCATCTGCCCACCCCCATCCATCCGTCAATCCATCCATCTGTCCATCCATCTACTCACCCATCCATTGATTCAGGTACATTTATTGAGTGCCAACTGTATATAACTCATGCTGTTCTGAAGGCTAGGTACTGAAGCATGAAGGAGACAGTCATAGTCTCTACCCCTGAGTTGTCTGCTGTGTAATTAGAGAGACAACCAATTAAGCAGGTAAACAAATCATCTCTGGAGGAATGCACAGGAGCAAGGATTTTGAACGCAGGTGCCACAGACAAATTAACAAAATGGTTGGACCATTTGTCCCCTGAACAGCCAGTTGCAGGAACTACCCATGGCTTAGACACACATGCAGTGGAAGGCTGGCCATGTAATTGTCAGGGTGAGGATGAGAACTGCTGATGGAGCAAGTGCAAAGGCCCTGTGGTGGGAGTCAGGGAACCTGGGATGCCCAAGAACAGAGGAAAGAGAAATGAGCAACTGGAGAAGGTTAACAAACCCTGCAGACAGCAAGGGCCGAACTGGGAAAGTGGCGTTCTTCCCAAATCCTAAATGCTGATTATGTGCTTTTCAGTACTGAGGGTGGAACCTGGGGCCTCACTGTGGAAGTGCTCACCACTGAGCCCCATCACAGTCCCTCTCTGGGGGAGCTTAGGCACTGGCTCCCCACTAGGCAGCACTCCTAGTCTCAAGAATATTATAAACTACTGTCTTTTTATATATTTGAAACTTTGGATCAAATGAAAGACTCTGAAATATGAAAGGGCCTGGAGCTCTCCCAAGAAGTAGAGAGGTTGCATGGCCATGTTTATTCAAAACAATAAACGATGCCAGATAATGTGACTAAATCAGCCAAGACAGAGGGCATCTGTCAAAGTCAACAAGTAGAGATATACACTAAAAAAACAATTTTTTCAATTTTTTTTTTTGTTTTTTTTGAGACAGGGTCTTCCTGTAGCCCCAGCTGTCCTGGAATTCACTATGTAGACCAGGCTGGCCTTGAACTCACAGAGATTCGCCTGCCTCTGTCTCCCAAGTGCTGGGATTAAAGGAGTGCGCCACCACACCTGACCCAATTAAGGTTCTTTATGGATTTTATTATTATTATTATTATTATTATTATTACTATTATTATTATTTAGAGTGGGTCTCACCATGTATGTAGTCCAGCGTAGTTTAGAACTCCCATCAATCCTCCTGCCTCAGCCAACCAAGTGCTAGGGCTACAGGTGTGTATCATCACGCTATCTATCTATCTATCATCTATCTATCTATTATTTATTTATTTTTGTGCCAGGCTCTCCTGTAGCCTAGGCTGTTCCTATGTAACTGAAAATGACCCTAAACTCCTGATCCTCCCTCCTCCGCCTCCCAACTGGAAGACAGGCAGGTACCACACAGGTGCTGGGAATGAACCCAGGCCTTATGTACGCTAGGCAAGTACTGCCCACTGAGCTACAAGCACTCTGCCCACTGAGCCCAGGCCTCCATAACTACACCCCCCTTTTTAAATTTTTTACTTTTTCAGACAGACTCTCACGCAGCCCAGGCTGACCTGTTACAATCCTGCCTCAATCTTTGGAGTGCCGGGATGCCAGGCACATAATTCTTTGTCTGGCTCAAGAGCTCATTGATGGATGAATGAAGCCAGTCAGTCCATCGATCCATGTAAGCCCAGAACATCACCCTGAACCAGTCCTGGGTGGCAGTGACCCAGTGCTGGCGATGAAGGAAGAGGCTGGGCCCCTCCCTAGGGCCTGGCTGGCTGTTCACCCTCATTTCCTATGTGTGACACATGCGGGCATGTCAGCGCCAGCCACCGCCTCCCGGAGGAGTTTGTAGCAGCCCATGCCCTAATGCACAGCTCTGGATGCCGAGCCTGAGCATTCTAAAGCCTCGCTCTTCCCATCTGGGAAATGGGTCTCCTGCCTGCTGTTCCCGCGGGTCACTGTCCCTTCCTGGCCGGGTCTGGGGTCCTGAACTCACCCAAGAGCAGCAGTTTCAACTCGCCCCGGTCCTGCCTCTTCTGTTCCAGGAGGATCTTGTTGATCTCCTGGTCTATTCTGGCCGCTGTCTTCTCTTCCTCCGTCAGACACCAGGGGCAGCAGCGCCAGGTGAGGGACCGGGCCATGGCGGGCACCTCACAAGCCAGTAGGCGACATGGCTCTGCTCAGCCCCAAGGCCTGCCCTGCCCTCTGGATGGTCCTCTCCGGGGACCCCAATGTCTCTGCCTAGGGTCCCCCTGGAGACCAGGCCGGGCCAGCTACAGGCCCTGTGCTGGGAACAGGGCGTGGACCTGTGAGAAGGGAGCTGCCCGCCCCCTCCAACCTGCCCAGACCCGGCAGACAGGTCGGTGTCAGAGGCTCCGGATGGGGAGGGCGGAGTGCCCAGCTGGGCCTCCTTCCTGCTCCTGCAGGGGTGGCCTCACCCCCTGGGCCTCTGACGTTGCTGCTCTCCCCTCTGGGCAAGTTTAGGAAGTACCAATGGGCACAACTACAGCTCACGGCCTATTTCAGAACCAATGAGGCCCCACTAAGCTTCCGTGTCTGCCTGCTGTCCACTTATCCCGCCCCTCCTCCACTGTTTGACAGATGAGGAAACTGAGGCACAGAGTAACAGAGGGGGTTTCCCACAGGGCAGAAGGGGGACACAAATGCCTGAGAAGGGAGAGTTTCAAACAAGCACAAGAATTAATAGGAGAGGAACTGATGCAAGCCATTATGGAGCACCTTCTGTATACGGAGCATGTTTTCATTTGAATCCACATGGGACGAAATGACAGAACTTAAAAAAGAAAAAAATTGAGTGGGCTAGAAAGAGGGCCCTGTAGGTGAGGGGGCTTGCCACTGATGACCTGGGTTAAATCCCCAGGACCCCCAAGGTGAAAAGGAATTGATTGTGCGATGTTCCTCTGACTGCCACCCAAAGCCAAAACAAAAGAAAATAATACGAATTCCAAAATGACAGCCAAGCTTGGAGGCCCACACTTTTAATCCCAGCACTCCGGAGACAGAAGCAGGTGAATCTGCCTGATATCTAGGCCTGCCTGGTCTACATAAAGAGTTCTAGGCCAGCTGGGGTTATGGGGAAACCCTGTCTCAAAAATTTTTTAAATAGTGGATGGAAACAAATTCTAAGAGAGAAACAAAGCAAAGATGTTGGGGGGCTTAGCGTGTGGTGCTCCAGACAGGGCCACAATAAGGTGACCTGAAATGGGACTTTGACAGTTTAATCTTCGCGTTGAAATATTGCTCAAATTCCAGGGTGTAAGTACCTCAGATCCCAAAAATAGGAGTCCCTAGATACTGAGAGATGAAGGCGGTGCCTTCAATCCCTGCTCTGTGACTGGGTGCCAACTCCCATACACATACTTTCTGAGAAGGTCCAGAATGTTCTAGAAAGCTCTGACTCAATTTGTATAACCAAGAAGTCTCTGATTCCCTCACAGACAAGACATTAGTGAGGCTCAGAGAGGGTATATAATGTGCCTGGAGACACATAGCAGTTGGGCAGCCATGGTCCCTCCTTCCTCCTCCCACCTCAGATTCCCAGCAGGGCAGCAGTTGGTTGATGGGCCCATGCCTGCCCCCTGGCTGACTGCGGTTTACTGTTGATTCATAATGAGGCAGATGGGAAGTGAGATAGGGGCCCCCCTGGGCTGGGTCACTGAGGAGGGAGGGACCTTTTCTACCCACCCAGTGGGTGGCTCTAAAGATTCTGCCTGAGACTCACCAGGCTGCTGTGGGGTTGGGGGTTGGGGAGGGAGAAACGGGCAAGGCCTTATAGAAACTGGCACCCAAGCTCTTAGGTTGGCCAAAGGCACAGGCTGGGGGAAACCTAAATCCCCCAGCCTGGCCTTGTCCAGACCAGACACCAGGCCTGAGATGCCACAGCATGGACCAGACCCTTTCACGGCTCCCAGTGGCCCTAGAGTAGAGAACTGTTCCCTCAATCACCCTCTGCAGGCGCCCTGCTTCAATTCTCTAGGCTTAAAATAAATCTCCTGGGTTCAGCGGCTAAGAGCACTGGCTGCTCTCAGAGGACCCGGATTCAGTTCCCAGCATCTAAATGGCAGCTAATGACTGTCTAGAACTCCAGTTCCAGAAGATCCGACACCCTCTTCTGGTCTCCATGGACACTGAATGACATGGGTGCACTTGCATACATGCAGACAAAACACTCATACTCATACACATAGAATAAAAATAAGTCAGGAGCAGGGCCAGCTTGAATTCATGTCTGTTTGGGAGAATATTTTGATTAACCCCCCCCCCCAAAAAAAACCCAAAACAACCAAAACTGTGTTTTTATGAGACAGGGTCTCCCTGTAGCCCCAGCTGGCCTGGAACTATGTAGACCAGGCTGCTCGATCTCACAGAGACCCGCCTGCCTCTGCCTCCCGAGTGCCGGGGTCAAAGGCTCACAGCACCGCGCCCGGCAGATCATTCTTATTTTACAAGTATTTTTTAAAAACTTTTAGGACTTATTGTAGATTTCTTTTTTGCTTTCAATTTTCAGTAACATCATATAAAAATCCAGTTTTTAAAATGTATTATTATTGTGCCTGCGTGAGTAGCCAGGGGTGTGCTGTGCTGGCAGAGGACAAACCTGTGGAAGTCAGTTCTCTCTGTCCACTCTGTGGGTCCTTCAAATCAAATTCAGGTCGTCAGGCTTGGCCACAAACCCCGTTACCCATTGAGCAAACTTGCCTGCATGTTTTTCTTTGTTTCTGTTTTTCTGCATAAAGTGTCCCTATGTAGCCTCCACTTCAGGCTCCAGAGTCCTGGAGGACTGACATGAGAAACTCCAAGTCCCTCTGGTTAGAGCTGTCTGGGTCCTGGGTCTTGGTCCTTTGGTGTCACCTGCTGGTCACTATGAGACATGACACACACCTGCAGCCAGCAGGGACTTAACCAGCCAGGCCTGCTCCCAAGCACCCCACATCTGGAATTTCACACCCCCTTTACTGCTTGTATCCCCTCGCTCACCTGGACCAGCAGTGGCCTCTGCTCCTAACCTGATGCCTGTCCTCCCCCCAGCAGCCACCAGAGGATGTCCGTGAGCATCAGCACCTCCTCCTTCTGTCCACAACCCTCCATGGCTCCCTCCTCCCTCAGGGTCAAAACCGTCCTCCTGCAGCCCACAGGGCCCTGCCTGCCCTGCCCGTCCTCTCTGCCTCTTGCTCCCCCTACACCATTCATAGGGGATTCGCTGCTCCTCCAACATACCAGGCTCCACCTTGCCACAGAACCTTTGCATAGCCATGTCCTCTGCCCTGGGGTGCAGGGCCAAGCCCTCTCTAGGACAACTTTTCTCTCCTAACAGCACGGTTCCTTTGCTTCCTCATCAGTTGTACCACCTGGTCACAAAAACCTTCCCTGGGGCCAATAAGATGGCTCAGCTGGGTTGGTATCTGGTGTCCACGTGGTGGAAGGAGAGAATAGATTCCTACAAGTTATCCTCTGACCTCTATACATGCACCATGGCAGGCATGTGCCCACACACATGCACACAAAATAAATGGGAAAAAATTTACAAAGCATTTCACCCACTAAGTTGTCTCCCTAACTCCAGATCTTTTTTCTTTTTCTTTCTTTTTTTTTTTTTTTTTTGAGACAGGGTCTCTCCATAGCCCCAGCTGTCCTGGAACTCACTATGTAGACCGGGCTGGCCTTGAACTCAGAGACCCGCCTGCTTCTGCCTCCTGAGTGCTGGGATTAAAGGCATGCGCCACCACGCCTGGCCCCAGATCTTTTTTTCTAAAAAGGCAGGAGCTGGGTATGTGTTCTAGTTTGCCTTCAATTGCTGTGACAAAAACACTCTGACCAATACCAACCTGGGAAGGAAAGGGTTTGTCTTACATCTCCCAGGTCACAATTCATCAGGGAGCCCAAGGTAGGAACTCAGGGCAGAACCTGGAGGCAGGAGCTGGAGCACGGCCATGGAGGAACACTGCTTACTAGTTTGCTCCCCTGGCCCCTGCTCAACCTTCTCTTTTTAGGTCTTTTTTGAGACAGGGTCTCCTTGTAGCCCCAGCTGGCCTGCTACTTGCTTTCTTATATAATACAGAACAATCTGCCCAGGGGTGGCACCACCCACAGTGGGCTGGGCCCTCCCACATCACTCAACAATCAAGAAGATGCCCCACGGACATGGCCACAGGTGGGTCCAATGGAGGCGATTCCCCAGTTGAGGCTCCCCCAACCCAGGTGTGTCAAGTTGACACTAAAGCTATCCAGCACAGGAGGCAAAGGGGTGGGGGGCTGTAACTGTCCCCTATGAGGGGGAAGGGCTGTAAGGGATCAGGCAGGGCAGACAACACTCCAAAGGTGACCCAGAGATGAGCTTGCTATGACCCTACTCCCCTTCAGACACAGGAAATGAAACCCCAAGAAGCCCAGAGCTTAGGAACAAAATTTATTCTGATTTAAAACAGAATTCATTTCAAGAGAAAGATATGAAAAGTAATTTTCAGGAGAATCTCTGGATTAAGGGGTCAGAGCCCCTGACCTGCCACGCGGACCACCAGCATCCAGCCCTCGTGGCCGAGGTGGCACTGTGCCTGTCCCTCCCCCCCACGCACAAAACATGCTTGCAAATGACCAGAGGTTTAAAAACAGAGCATTTTCCCTTAAATAGGCCGAAGTTGGCTGAAATCAGGGCTGTGTAATATACAAGGATCGCAGCCACCCTGATGCTGGGTGGCGGCAGGTGGTTGGCACTCCTGGGTGCACATCCCTGGACCTGTCCCAACACAGGTGGCACTGGCCCCAGGACCTTTGCAGTGACTGGGGTGGGTGTCCCCAGCAAGTGCTTGGTCAGAACAGGCTGGGCCAGGCCAGGCCAGTCGTACCCAGGGCTTTGGCTATGGCCACAGTGACCAGGCATACTTGGCACGCTGTCCCGAGTCCCCTTCCCTTTGTGTGATGTGGACATGTCTACTCTGGGGGACCTGGGCCTGTACAGGACAACTCTGCAGGAGGCCTTGATGGCTGCTTGGCTGTGGGTGGCCAGGTTGACCCCACCAGTCAGCGACATATGGCACAGGGGACATCCCTCTGCTGGACGCAGGAGACCCCCAGCATGGGCGAGTAGGGGACTCACAGGCTGGTGGCCAGGAATGTGCGTGACCACAGCAGCTGTGCACCTACAGCCTGCACCATGCTGTGCCCACAGGTCTCTAGTGTCCTACCCCAGGCAGCGTGACCGGCACTGTTTCCGGTGCCCAGTTGGCACATGTCTGAGTGGGCGCTCCGGGGCCCAGCACATTGGGGAGGACGAAGACTTGGGACACTGGGGCCAGGAGCGCACGTGCAAAAGTGAAGAGATGGGATGGACAGACAGACAGACAGACACTGTAGTGTAAATGGGAGGCGGGGGGCCGCCTGTGTCCACCGTGGCCGAGGCCACCACGTCCTGGGCGTGCACTGGCCATCATGGCTTGCGGTGCGGTGGCTCGGGAGGGAGTGGGCAGGGGCTGAGGCTCACGGGTGCCCGTATGCTGGGGACAGACCTGAGAGTATTCGGAAGAGTCCCCGCTGCACCCCGATCTTTCCCGACCGTAAGACAAAAATTAAAAAAGAAAAAACAGACGGCCTTGCAGCCACACGGGGAACCATCCCCTCCAGCTGCATTGTGAGGGTCACTGAAGAACTGGGATCTTGGGGACCCCAGTTCCCCCCAAGGGTCCAGCCCAGGCCTGGCCCTGTGTCCTGCAGGCGAACACAGGGTGACAGTCACTCAGAGGAGGAGGGGACCCTGCAGGGCATCCTTTGCCCAAATGGGGGCGGGGAGAAATATTTTTCTTTTTCTTTTCAAAAGCAAAAAAGAAAACACCAAAAAACGGTTAGGCACTTCCCAGGGTGGGCATGGGGCGACCGCCCACCCCCACTTCTTGGGGTCCAGGGAGTAGACGAACGGTATGGGGACAATAACTTAGAAAACAGACAGTCCATAGCCCCCATGTGGCACAGGATTTGAACTCATGACCCGGGGCTGTACCAGGCCTGAGCGGCCAGCCTTGGGGCTGCCTGGGAACCCTGTAGGATCCCGTGGGGACCGTGGCCCTGGGGAACTTAGTCTTGGGGCTGCATGGGGACCATGGGATCCCGTGGGGACGTGGCCCTGGGGAACTTGGTCTTGGGGCTGCATGGGGACCATGGGATCCCGTGGGGACGTGGCCCTGGGAGCAGGGCACACTGGTGTTCACGTGTTTGCTTCCTTTGCTTTTTTTTTCTTTTTGGTTTTTCTTTTTCTAGAAAAAAACAGAAAAACAAAAAAACCAACTCAGGCCACAAGGAGTCAAGGCCAGAGAAAGGTGGCGCTGGCTGGCGTGGGCCGGCGGTGGTGGCCTCAGGGTCACACCAAGTTGTACTCCTTGAGGTTGAGCTGAAGGATTGTATCCTTGACAGCTGCAAACACAAAGCGGATGTTCTCCGTGTCGGTGGCGCATGTGAAGTGGGAGTAGATGATCTTGTCGCTGTCAGGGTTCAGGTCCACGAACATCTTCAGGATGAATTCTCGGGCGGCCTGTGCATCCCGCTGTGGCCCTGCAAGGACAGCACATCAGGATAGGGCGGGTCAGGGATGGGGACAGGGATGGGGACAGGGAGGGGGCAGGGATGGGGACAGGGATGGGGACAGGGAGGGGGCAGGGATGGGGATAGGGATGGGGACAGGGGACAGGGCAGTCTCTACCAAACAGGGACTAGCAGACCGAGGGGACATGGGACACTGTGGACACAGGACAGACATGAAACACTGGGACATGGGCAGTGGTAGGTACTGACCGTCAAACTCGGGGAAATAGTCCACGAGGTGAGAGTGCAGGACCTTGTCCTCCAACAGGTCCTTCTTGTTAAGGAAGAGGATGACGGACGAGTTTTGGAACCAGGGGTAGGTGATGATGGTGCGGAACAGCGCCTTGCTCTCCTCCATGCGGTTCTGCGGCACACAGGGTGGTCACTGGGCTGTCCCCTGCATCCCCCGTGTGTCCCCTCATCCCTCCTGCCCTGTGTCCCTCCTGTCCGATGTCCCCTCACCCCTCCTACCCCATATCCCCACCGTGTCGCCCTCTCCTGCTTGGCCACACCTCATTGTCCGACTCCACTAGGACCTGGTCATATTCACTCAGAGCCACCAGGAACATGATGGATGTGACATTCTCGAAGCAGTGGATCCACTTCCTGCGCTCCGACCTCTGTCCACCCACGTCCACCATCCTGTGGGGACACCATGTGGTGCTCAAATAGGAGAGCCTGGGGCCCTGCCGACACTGGGCTCACTGATACCGGGCCCTAACCCTGGTCCTCCTGTGTCTGTGGGGTACAGGTGCCCAGTAGGCACCACACATGTTCTCCATGATGGCACATGTCCCTCCCATCTGCAGCCTGCACACTGGGGGTCCCCCTGGGGACCCAGCCCAGGTGCCTGCGACCTGAGTCACCTGAAGATGATGTTTTCCAGGTCAAATGGGTACTCAATGATTCCGGTGGTGGGTACACGCACGCGCAGCACATCCTGCTGGGTGGGCAGGTAGCCCACCGTGGCGATGCGGTCCACGTCTGTCAGATAACTGCAGACAACAGGGTGACATTCAGGAGCCTGAGGGGACAGGACGGGGACGCCGCACCCGGACACAGGGGGACAGGACGGGCGCTGTCCAGTTGGGAGGAGTGGAGCTGCTGTTCCCATGGCTCGAGGGACACAGGGGTCCCGGGGAGGACAGGCTCTCAGGGCGGGTTCAATACCACACCTGGCATGAGCCACTATATGGCCAGAGGAGCCACGGGCACAAGGGACATCTGTATGACGTAACCCAGTAGGTGACAGTGCAGATGCAGGTTTGGAGAAGGGACAAGCCAGACAATAAGCAGGCCAGAGCCACTGGCCACAGGGACCCACTGCTGATGCTGTTCCCCTGGGCTGCGGCTGTCTCTGGGTTGCCCCCAGGTCTCCTCTGCTCTGGGGACAACCCGGGGCAGGGTCAAGCTCTGTTCCCAGCCAGGTCACATGTGGGGACATGAGAATAGGCCGAAGGAAGAGTGACTGCAGAGAAGGGTCCTGCTGTCTGAGCCCCACCTCAGTCTCCCTGAGGCAGGGGTGAGGGTAGGGCCGACAGTGGCCTATGGTCTCCCCAGTTGTCCTCCCCAACGCAGGCAGGACATCAGAAGTGACCACAGGCTGGACACCCCTGTCCTAGGCAGAGACCCTAAGCCTGTCATGCATGGGCAGCCCGTGAATGACATGGCTGAACAGAGGCCACGCAGGTCACACTCATCCTGTGGCCCCCAGGGGCCCACGCCCAGGCTGTGCCACCTCTGACCCTCCCATGGGTGTCCCGCGTTCCCAGTCAGCAGGTGGCAGTCACTTACTACTTGGCAGAGTCTGAGAGCTGGAACTCGCGCCTGCGGTCGTAGCACTCCTGCACTCCCGGGTCGCTCCACAGGGTCTTGATGGCATTCACATACTGGTGATCAAAGGTCGTGACCTTTTCCACATCCACCTCCCGGATCAGAAGCGCGTTGGCCTGAGGGTGGGAGGGGAATCTGTGAGCTCGCAGGGGACCCCAGCTGTGTGCAGAGTTCACAGCACCCTCAGGACAGCAAGGGGCCAACCCAGGCTTCAGGTTCACGGGGACTCAGCCTCTCAGAGGCAGGGAAGCCTCAAGGCTCCCACACTCTGTGCATGACTCCTCCGATTTCCACTGTTTGTGCTCCCTGAAAGCCACACAAGACATGCTCTGAGTGTGGGTGGCCACTAAGAGGCTGGTCCTGAGTGCAAGAGACACACACACTTGCCCAGAGCACTACACAGGGAGAGAGGAGACTGGGCCACCTCAGGACAGCGACCACTACGGCCCAAATCTACCTGCAGCCTTCCCAGCCCTTGCCACTTGGGATGGAACCCACTTCTGTGAGCCTGATTGTGGGAAGAAACAGAGGGCTCCATCTCCAGCCTGGTATGTGATGGGGCCGTACTCAGCCCTGTCCCCTTGGACCAACAAGATCTGCAGCCTCAATGGGGACTGTAGCCTGCTGGACAGCCACGGCCAGGAGGTTATGTGACCAGGGTATGTCAAGCCAGAGTGCCCTATGCACCCATGTCCAGGATGCAGGGCCTCAACAAAGCTGGGGACTCTGAGTCCCCTTGATCTGAACCAGAATCCTGACACTCGGGAGGCTGAGGCAGGAGGAGGATGGCCAGTTCCAGGCCAGCTTGGGCTACAGAGCAAATCCCTGCCTCAAAGGTCCAGGTTGGGGGCAGAGCCCCGTGGCAGCATGGCTCTATCATGGGGTGGTGGCTCTGTGGCGTGGTCTGGGGGCGTGGTCCTGTGGTAGAAGTGTGACTCTGCTGTGGGTGGTGTGGCTTGGTGGCAGGGATGTGGCTCAGGGACTCCAGCTTAGCAGGCCCAAGGCAGACCTTCACCCCCATTTCAAGGGAAAATAATAAAGAAAACTGCCAAGCACAGCATCTCCAGGTTCCCTGGTGGCTCAGGACAGGATGCAGTGCCTGAGATGCTGCAGGGCAGAAGGGCGGAATGATGGAGTGCACAGTGGCTCCCTGAAATCTGGGCCTGAGGGGCTTGGCTGGGCAATGACTGCCACAGTACCAGGAGCCCGACTTCTCTTGTCAGGACCACGGGAGCTGATAGCTGCCCCGCCCTCCGCAGTCCTCGCACCCGCCCACTTCCCTTAGCTCCGCCCTGTGACTCCCCCTCTGCTCAGGCCCCGCCCCTCGGCCTCACCTTGTTCTGCTCATACTTGTAGAGGATCTTGAGCGTGTCCATAGCGCGGATCATGGCCTGCATAGCGGTGAAGATGTTCTGGTACACCAACTTGGTGAAGCCGCGCTTGTCCTCCTCCGAGTAGCCGGCGCCATGGATGATGCGCATCTGCTTGATGAACGTGCTTTTCCCGCTCTCGCCAGTGCCTGGGGGAGGGGCGTCCTGGTCATTGCGCCCCGAAGCCGCAGAGCGCTTCCCACGGGCCTCTTCCCACCACCCGGGTCCCACAGTACGCACCCCAGGGGTCTTCCCCAGGCACCCTTCCATCACACACACACACATCCTGCAGGTCATTCCCCAGTTCCTCGATCATTCCCCCTCCCCCCGCCGTTTCCTAGATCTCCCCCCATTCCAGGGGTCACCTCCTATTTCCCGGATCACCCCCTCATCCCACAGGTCATTCCTTTCCTGGGTCATCAGTGCAGCACCCCTGCCCGACTCTGGTCTGGGGTATGCCAGGCTCTTCCCACCCGCGGCTCTGCCTCTAGCTGAGGGCGGGGACTGCCACAAGCACCGCATGGGGCCCGGAATGCAAAGCTCACCAGTGCCTAGCTTATCCCAGCAGCTCCTGGGTGTGTCACAGCACCAGCCACCTCAGTGCTCCTCGGAATCCCCCCCCACCCGGGTCCGGAGGACTAAGGAGCCTTACCCCTAGACACTTTGGAACCTCACGCCTGACCCCAGCAACCTCAGGATGACCCCCTCATGTGGTGAGTACAGGGGACCTGCACCCCCACCTCTGCGTCTTCAGGCCTCTCCTCCCACCTGGAGCACCCCAGAGGGGCCAGGCCTGTGGCCACTGCAGGGAGATGGATGGCCCTCAAAGGTCCCCAAGATGCCAGCCCTACAGGCCACACACCTTCATGCCAAAGGCCAGACACCCCACAGCTGTCTAGATGTACAGATGGTCCCCCAACATCCTTCACCTCAAATCCAAAATGCTCCAAAATCTGCAAACTTTAAGTGTTCTGTCAACGGTCAAGAATATTCTCAACTTTTATTGATTTTGCTTTTGTTTTGTTCTGTTTTTTTGTGTTTTGGGGATTGGATCTCCCTGGAGCCCCAGCTGACCTGGAACTCGCTATGTAGCCCAGGCTGACCTCAAACTCACAGAGATCTGGCCTGCCTCTGCCTCTCAAAGGCGTGCGCAATCACAGCAGGCCCACACTGTTTTGTTGCATGTGTGTGTCCCGAGGCTCCATGGTGGGTGTGTTCAGTGTGCGTCCAGGGGCTCCATGGTGGGTGTGTTCAGTGTGCATCCCAGGGCTCCATGGTGGGTGTGTTCAGTGTGCGTCCAGGGGCTCCATGGTGGGTGTGTTTAGTGTGCGTCCCAGGGCTCCATGGTGGGTGTGTTCAGTGTGCGTCCAGGGGCTCCATGGTGGGTGTGTTCAGTGTGTGTCCCGGGGCTGCATGCTGTGTGTGTGTGTGTGTGTGTGTGTGTGTGTGTGTGCTGTTCCTCAGGGGTGTTCTCTTCA